TAAGTAAGGACATCTCTATAGTAGTAGGTCTGTGCAGTTAACGAGCGGGCTGGTTCGCAAAACTCTCGCTCTTTAGATCGTTTCGTTTTAAATAAATATTATTTATTCGTTCAAATCAAAATGGATCATGTAGTAAAATAGAAAGTGTTTATTTGCTGTCAGCAAACAAAAAGGCGGGCTAAAATAAAACAAGCACACATATTGGTCGGAAAAAACACAACATACTGCCTTTACTCAGATTCGAGTCGGGAACGAACGAAATAGTTATAGTTCTTTCTTATTCTATAACTAGAGTTACGAAATAAATTAAACGTTCGCTAAAAGACAGCACGCATATGGGCTGGAAAAACTTATAGAATTAAAAATTGGCCAGTCTACATCCTTTCACAGCCTCGAATCGAGAACGAAAGATCTAATTCTAGTTCTTCTTTCTCTAGAGCTGGTGTTACGAACTAAATTGAGCGCTCAGTCGGTTACAATTATGCACAAGACTAATAGTAAGTAGGCACTGTCCTCTAGACACACGCATGCATTATATCTCGTTTGTATGAGGATGTTATGCCATAAATGGTAAAGACAAGATATCGCCTTCACTTTTATAATTGGTACGCGTCAGGGTCAATGGTTCATCAAGGCGTTTTACTCTATTTTCGAGGATTTGTTCCAAAGTTTTAAATGCTTTAGCGATTTTCTCACAAGTTCGTAACATCGTACCAAATTTTTATTTATTTCGGCAGTACATTTACTACTATTGTAACTACTACTAATGTATGTAATGACGTTTAAACAGAAAGGTACAGTCATTATATTTTCAGAAATGTAAATACATTATATTTATTTCTTTTTGAAACAGAAACTATTTAAAAAATTGTTGATGAGTGATGACAATCACAGGAGTATAAAACTGTACATTTAATTTTAATATATGTTCTGACTGCCTACCTATAAAATACTGACCGCAGGCGATGTATTTAATATTTTTATCTTCATGTACGTTAACACATATTTTACGTAAAGTCTGATAATGCATTTCAGAAGAACATATCACTAAAAAAGAATTCATTAATAATAAAATTTATTTGTTCCAGTCCATTATTAGTATTCTCAATTTTTTTTAACACTAAACATCTTGTAATTATAACAATATAAGAGAATTCTTTTATATTGTTATAATTACAAGATGTTTATATAGCTAGCACATTCTAACATAGCTTCCGTTCAATGGAACGGAAGATGTACTAGGAATTACATATTTACATATTTTATATGTGTATAATTTCTCCATCCGCTATTTTTTGTCTGTAAAGTAATTTTTTTAACACTAAATATCTTGTAATTATAACAATATATAAGAGTATGGATCGGACCCTGTGCTAAGAATTACATATTTTATGAATGTTTAATTCCTCCATCCACTATTTTAAGTTTGTCTTTATTCCAAACGTTATATACCAAAGATCGAGTTAATTTATTTTAAAATAATAATAATCTCAGGACAATTCACACAGCGCCATCCAGACCCAAATTAAGCTACCTAAACCTTGTGTTATGGGTACTAGATAACTGATACATATACATAGATTTTTTTTAAATACATACATATTATACATAGAAAAGACCCATACCGATACAAACAATCATACTCATGAATACAAATGTTTGTGCCGTGTGAGGAATCGAACCCGCGACCATCGATCGTAAAGACACCGCTAGACCGCTAGACCACCGAGGTAGTCAATTAATAATGAATCTAATTTGCATTGTAAAACCATATAGACAGGATTGAAACGAAAATTGATCTAACTGCACTGTTCCTAAGCAATAAAAGATATTAAGCATTTTAAAAAATGCATCAATATCTTCATAAATTGAGATTCTTATGTAATCTTGATTCAATATATTTGATAATGTAATACTCTCTTTAGGCACACCACTAATATTACAAAGTTATGTTAGACGAGGTTCTTTATAACCATTATAGTTCTGCAGCTAAAAACGAAGGTACTCTTTGCAAAAAGTCTCAACTATTTCAGCCGTCAAGCAGCATAGGTACTCTGTAAAATATGTTTTGGTTAAAGGGTAATATAAAACAGGGATTATAGGACAATACACATGACATCTTAGTTCTCCGGAAGGACAACGCATGAGTGGTATCACGGGCGTCATATAAGATACGTGATAAGTCAGATACCGTGATGGAGCAACACATTATAAAAAGATTCAAACGTCTTATATGTGTAAACGTTACTTCTCGGCAAAAATGTTTATTATAAAATTGAAGAGTTTGTATATGTTAATAATGATTTTGTAGAAAGAACTTAAAATTCATAGGGCGGACAATATTATTGCACTATGAATGTGTGCGTAGCGGTTTCTATGTTGATTATCGCATGTCTCTTACTTGTTACTGTGTTATTATTTCTTTTATACAAAAGAGCAACACACAAGTTCTTGCTCATTCTTCTTGTGATGGAGTCTGGGTTCCGAATGAGTGGTAGAATGAAAAAATGTGACTAATAAAAAGTTGTTGAGTTTATTTGATTAAAGATTATTTCTATTTTTATTGGATCACTTATAGCACAGATAACATAATATTACATATAGTATTGTTCATGTACGTATGTTGGCGACGGTTACCATTTACCATCAAGTGTGCGGTCCAAATATTTTTGCCATTCTAGTTATTAAAAAATGTTTCATCATTATATTAACATAGGTATAATCGACAATAGGTTGCACCAATTTTTTTATTAATTTCAACTGGTGCACTTGTCTGCTCTAACGGAGTACGCTGGCGGGGCACCAGTGAAGAGTGATAAGATAAGCATGAGGTCAGGTCAGTTTGCTCATCGTGAAAATAACCAGGAATTAATTATGAAGGCCTCCAGGGGGTACCGCGAGGAGGTCAACCTGAATTAAATCAAATAAAAAATAATTTATTCATGTGGGACATTTTAGCCGCTTATGGACGTATTTTATTTCTATTATAAATTTTCCCTACCGTCCAGTTCAATATATAGACTCAATTGAGAACAACTATTGAAATGCTATATAGCTATCAATTGGGTCACTAGTTCCCATTACTCCGTAAATACTTGGCGGAATAAGTGTCTGCCTACTGAGCGATATTTAATGACCCCCTTATACATACCTATATAGCTCAATATGAATAGTTCATTTCATATATCATAACAGTAACAACTGTACTAAAAATAAATACTTTACAATGCCCTGTAGAACAATAATGTGCTTGGAAAAATCACACAGCGCCATTTAGTTCTAAGTTAAGCAGAGCTTGTGTTATGGGTACTACACAATTGATATAAATACATAGATCCTTTTTTTTTTTAAAAAAAATATATAATTTACATAGAAAACACAGACCTATGCAAACAATCATATTCATGAATAGAAATGTTAGTAGTTACATTTTCGTAACTAGAAACAAGACAAAAGGACAAAATTGCAATAGAAATTTGGTATAGTATTAATGTAATAAAATCATATAAGTCACCGCTATACAGTTGTAAGTTATTGTAATATGAACTGTGAATGAAACGCTGTAAGTAGCTAGGTATACAAAAATAGGTAGATATGGCACCTGGATATTCACAGGCCGCCCTCACCTCACCTGGAGGGTTAAATTTAAAGTGGAAGCTAAACCGGCATGCATTCGACCCAGTTGCATGCATTTATTGAATGGATTTTTCACTCATTTGCATAATAGCTTTGGGTTTTTCAAACGCGGGAAAGTGCACAAAAATATATGTATACATATCTAACTTGCCGCTGTGTTGCCGCATCGATTTGGCCTGAGATTATAACTTTGTGATTTTATATATATACATAATATGTAGTCTAACTTTGGAATAATCTAACTTTCAAATAGTAAATACTTTTTCAAAACGATACGTTGGTCTTGTAGTTTACATCCTCATAACAAAATTCTTTCTTTATTTCTTTAAACAGAGAAATATAAATATTCAGATAACAACTATGACAATATCACTATTTAATCATTATTTTAAATAAAGATATAGTTGTAAAGTAATAGTTGGATATATTGTGATTTCTTGCTCAGTGTTGCCAGATAACTATATTGTCTTCTCTAAAATTTAGTCCGAAGTTCCTCTAATGAACGAAAATTACCATGGCTGATGGCCAATACAGACCAGTGGTAACCATTTCTTATAAAACTAAAGTTGCGCCAATAGCTCATAGAAATAAAATATTTGGGGTAACGTCGTTGTTCTTCCCTTACGAATTACTTTCCCTCAATTTGGAGGAACACTTCAATATTACAACACTACTAATAAATTCGGAGAAATATGTACGAAGAATCATTATAACTGTACACAAATTAATAGAAATATTTGTTCTGTGACACAAAATCAATATGAACTAAAAATTAAAACTACTAACATATTTCCTTTTTTTTATCAGGCTACATTTGTTTATGCGTTCCGTTCGTTACTGTTTATAAAATGTAATAAGTTGCGAATAATGCAATTAATGATATCTCAGTATTTTATAATCTATTTCGGAAAACATTGTAACCTAATTTTCAGTCTTGCAGTATTAACAAGATACAAAATGTGAGCTGGTAGTTGTTAAAAAAAAAAGCATTTGAATTTAAAGCCGAATTTAAAATATCTTAGATTTGGATATGACATGAAATTTTATATCTTTTTTACATAATAGTTAGTAAATATATATTATACTTTACATACTTAATTAATTAAATGGCTACATTTAGAATAATCTTTAAATTATCAAAACTTATATATAATGAAGATTACTCGAAAATACCCTTAAGTTAAATAATTTATTGACACATCGGTACCCATCTACAACATTTAATAAAATAGACTTACGACCTTAAGTATTAAATTACATTTAATATAGTAGTAACCACATAGTAGGATAATAATAAATAAATGGACACGTCATAGAAGTATTCATTTCACCAATAGGGTAACCCTAAAATTTTCAGTCAATCAGCTATGGGGCTCTTGTCAAATAAATTTAAACCCAATTTTTTGGGTTTATTAAAATTTTTGAACAGTTTAAACTTCTTTATAGTGTTCTTTAGTTTAATAAACCTTTCTGTATGTATATATGAGGATCAAATAGGAAAATTCGATTGGTAATAATTTGTAATAGGTTATAATATACTTGTCATCGGTGGGTTAAACTTGATGAATTTTTAATGAAATTAACCTTTTCAGGCGTCAAAGTTATGTAGGAAGAATAAAATTTTCAGAGTTCGACACAGTCTCAACAGCTAAGAAAATAATAGTCGCCACCGAAGAGAATGTTTTGGCCGCTTTGAACTTAAAGACAGGTAATTGATTTTATTACTATATCCGCTTCTAATTTATATAGCGGTTTGTTTACACACATTTGGGGTAATATTACGCTGCACATTTATTTAAGGATTAGTGAAAAACCAAGATATTGTGTTATATTTTAGTACTATAGCGTGTTTTGTCAGTGATTACATTTATTTCTTGTATAATGGAATATTTGATCATGATAGGTCACAGATTATAATCTAAGAATAAATTGCATATCTTTTTTTTAATCTTTATGATAACAGATTTCACCATTGGCTTGAGCTAATCAATTATGGTGAATCCATGTTATGGACAGCTTTCTGGAGAGCAACTCACAATAGTTTGCATCTAATTGCACCTATATGAGTTTATTTTGAACCAAGAATTAATTACAATACTTTGTTTATGTAAAACATCATATCTACTATTACACCATTTACTTTTAGCATTTTATCACATACTGTAGCTATTGTTATAATTTTAATGGTGTTTGTTTTACATTTTTAGTACTTATCTCTGATTTTATGTACATACCGCAAGTGTGATTGTTTAAGTATATTGTTTAAATATTATATTTCAATACCATACATTCACCTATTAAGGTATAAAGTGTGGTATAATTCCTAAGAATTTTAGCCTAAAAAAGCCTTTATATTCATATACTACTTCATACTGTAGATAACTAAGTATTAATGGGTCCATAAAGATGAATTATTTTTGTTGTCAGGTTTATAAACAGTGAAATACACCCTAATGCATCATAAATTCAAAAATGCCTTTAAAAGCTTCTATACTCATATATAACTCTTCAAACAGTGAATAACTAATTATTATTGGAATTGGATTGGATTAATCTAAATCAATTTGTTATTAGAATTATAAAAACATATACTGTAAACATTTCTAATATTCCATAATGGTTTTACAAATATTTCTTCCTAATTTTATGAATGCTGAAGTTTGTGAGTGTCAATGAATGGGTGGATGATTTGTTACTAATACTTATGGATTATAATTAAACTTTATAATAATATAGCTTATACATCAGAATAACAGCAGGTGGAAGTGCGGGCACATCGGAGGACACAGACAATACCTGAACGGAGCCGACTGCCACTTGTGTATAGTATGATGGCAAAGTTACACATAATTTTGTGTTTTTGTAAAGAATCAGCAATTAAAGTACTTATCATATCAACATTTGTATTATTGGAAGTTTATATGAAAAAGAAGTGATTATTAATTAAAATGTTTGGCAGGTCAAGTGGTATGGAGGCATGTGCTGGAGAGTGCTTCTACAGGCAACATCCAGCTTCTCCATGTGTCAAAGAGGGTGGTAACTGTAACAGGAGCGAACCCATATCTCGTCAGAGGATGGGATCCAGCTACAGGTGAATATAATTATGATATATTAGACAAACTTATATTATTTTTAATCTATTCAAGATTTTTGCCATTTTATTATTGTTTTAATTTATTATATAGTTAACTGATAATACTGTTTCAGGTGTCCTTATATGGGAATGGTCACTGACCCTCCAGAATGACGATCATGCTGACTTCTCGGAGTGGTGGGTGCAAGAGTATAATGTATTAGTTCACATGTTGCCAATCTATGGCTCCCACATTGAAGTCACCATGTACAACTTAGTGACAGGACATAACAGAGGGGCCACATCTAAGTTACCAGCTGTATGGACCAATGATGGGTGAGAAATTTATCATTTTATCATAATTTAAAAATATATAGAAAATAATTAACACTATAATTATTTTTAGAGATTAGATTTATTTAGAGAGCAATTATGGCTATTTGCTGTCTAGGGTTAACACACATTTTGTTAACATTTCTATTCATGAACATGATTGTTTGTGTTGGTCTGGGTGTTTTCTAAGTATATTATGTACATATTTACAAAAGAAAATGTATCTAAGCATTTATATCAGTTATCTAGTACTTACCTATTTCACAAGCTCTATTTACCTTGGAACTAGATAGTGCTGTGTGAATTGTTGAGGGATATTTTTATGTATGTATTTACAAAAGAAATCTATTTAAGTATTTCTATCAATTGTTCAGTCCCTATAACATAAACTCGGAAACTATATATAACTTTTCATAGCCCTAAGACTTAGGCATAAGAAAAGTTGTTTACATCAATTCTTTGACCTACTGCATATACACGCAAAATTTCATAAAGAACAGTTAAGCTATTTCAAAGGAGTTTTGTTACAAACACTGTGTGACAAGAATCTAATATATAGAAGTAGTCCCATGTATAGTTTATAATATAAAGCAAAGCATTTTCAACCTTTTTACAGATGCATTCTGACAGCACCATATTACACATGCATAGGAAAAGAGCTCATACATTCACTCGACGTCACATCTAATGCAATTCAACTGATAAGCAAACCACTGTCACTGTACGTTCCCAATGCAGGAGATGTGACTCTTAGACCATTAGACGGTAACAGCATCTCACCAGGATTTATTATCAATGACAAGAAAATAGTGATTATAAAGAATAATGACTTAAAACTTCTGGAAACTGCACTTGGGGATCAGTCAGCTAGCGCAAGTATAATTGACAGTTCCAGTGGTCCAATACTTGTGCAGAGTTGGAGTGATGAACTAAAGGTCAATATATATAATTGTTTACTTATTTCCACACACAGCAGTTCCTGTCTTATTTTTTTCTTCTATTTTAATTAATTTAAAAACGTTTTTATTGATATTCTCATTTGATTTTAATTTCATTCATATTTTACAATTAAAATCAAATTAAAACTTAATGAATTTCATCATTTATTAATACCTAAATAATAATAAATAATTACAATATTACATTTAAAATTAAAAATAAAAAATAAAACTAAAATTAAAATAAAATAAGATTAGAATTAATCAAACAATCTAGTTGGTAACACACTGGTATATTAAATGAACCCGATATGATGGTTATGGGTGCCCACCCATAACCATCATACAACACACAACCATCATACATAACACTGTTATGAATGATGGTTGTGGGTGGGCTGAAAATTTCACATCTGTTATGATAACAGATGTGAAATATTCTAATATAATTCTTTGGTTTCTTCGCAGGGATTCTTCTTAACAGCTCACAGTCTAACATCAGGCCAGGAGGTACGAGAAATCCAATATTCAGATAAGGATCTACACATACCCGAGCCAGAGATATCGGCTGCGGTGTGTTCATCAGCGAGGGAGAACATCTGCAGATTCTTCGTGACCGGGGCGGATGACGCCGCCCATCTGTTGCAACAAGGAGGTAAATACTAATTACGGTATTCGTATCCAATAAAAAAAACTAAATGACTAAGTCATTATTAAATTCAGTGTGCAACAAATTCTAACCATTTTTTATTTCATTATTATAACAACTTAAACATAGCAATATGCATCCAGCAAACATTAATTAGAAACTACATAAAAAAAATGCGAGTGACATAGTTCAATTCTAGAACCAATGTCTCCGAAGTCGTATAGCAAACACCGTTACAAGAACATAGTCAACGTTTAATAGATTTAATATAAAATTAGCAATATTCCAATTAACAATTGTCTAAGTAATTACTATATTGAAATTGTGACATTGTGACCTCGTTCATTCTTGGCGCGTGTAATTTCTGCTCGTCATCACTTTTTAATAGGGCTGTGCAGTACATATGTAAGATACTTAATGGATTTATACTATTTTGTTTAAATCTGCTAAAAGTAGTGCTTCTGGAAACGTTACAACCTTCCCTACTCGTGACAAATTATGACGGTTTTTAAGTTGACATCCATATTGGAACATATGTTACGCCTCTAAACGAGGTGTCATAAGGCATTAAGTAGAGTTCGGATTTAGCTATTTTTTTGTGTTTACTTTTGCGCTTTTTGCACATATGAATCGAGTCTTTTCTCTTTCTTTAAAAAAAAATATTTTTATTCCACAGTTTTTAATTTCAAACACTTTTTTAAGATTTATAAACTGTCATTAACTCTATAATTATGTCTTTGTTCCATAGTTAGAGGTCCGTCATTTTGCAATGATAATTAATTATTAAATATACGGCCCTAAAGCACGTACGATTGAAGGACGTATTATTGCGTTCACTGGCGACACGCGCGGTCATTCTCGTTCTTTTTGTCTACATTTACATGCACATTATTTTCTGATTGGAAGCTGATTCCCGCGTAAAAGAGCGTACATGTAAATGCAGCTAATGTTTTAATTTTCAGGCCGTGTACTGTGGACTCGGGAGGAAGCGCTCGCAAATGTTGTGGCAGTGGAATTTGTCGATTTGCCCGTATCGGATCTCGACGCTGCAATTGAATCAGAGTTCGATCAAAAAGAGGGTGAGCATATTTTGTAAAATCTGTACACTTTTTTAATTTTCTGTGAGGCAAAAACTACGGTCGAAGGACCGTATTAATTAATTTATCTTTATCATTAGGGACCAATTATTTATAATATTTGAATGTATTTAAGTATATATAAAAATAGCTGTGTGCAATACCTAAGTCCTCTGCTGTGAAATCAGTTAACAATATGTGTGTAAGTTAGTATTGAGGGATGAATTATGAAAATATATGTATAAAATATGAAAATAAGATTAAAAAAGATATATGATACATAGATAAATAGAATTATTTGCAATATACAATATATAAATAATAACAAATTACACATGTATAATTACGAAAAGGCGGCCTCATTGCTGAAAGTAATCATTACAAGGCAAGAAATAGATTTAATTATCGAACAAAAGGGAGAAAATAAAATAATAATAAGTATAATAAGAAATTAAAATGTTTGAATATTATGTATTTAATATTCGTGTTTGTTTTTAGCTGCCAAGATGTACAGTAAGTATGAGTAGATTTGATGTGCCACAATGGTGATATTTTAAAGCTTTGATAGTGAAATTTAACTGTGTTAATTTTTTTTTGTTGTAAACTGGAACACTGTAGAGAACCAATTGTGTATGTTAATACTAAAATTAAAACATATAGTGTATAACAATTATTATATAATAGATAATAGTATTTTTAAAATATGGCCATTCAAAGAGGTGATGCAGGCAGTATCTTGGGTACACTGCCTCAATGTGCCGAGTGGGATTATAATGATTGTTTTTTTTTTATTAAAAAAAAATTATAATGTTTGTATGTTAACTACTGGACAGTTTGTTTGAAATTGATATAATAATAGCCTCTATGTGGTTGTTCTATAACCTTTTTTACCTAGATAGTGCAAAATAATGGTACATCTAAAACATCTCCAGTATTTCTGATACTAAAATTCAAGAATTGAAAAATATTGTTGTAATCATATTTTTCACATTTTATTTTATGTCCATTTTGGACAAAGTTTTAACAGTCTGTGTTGCCAATGGCAACTTTTTTGATAGTTTTTTATATATATTTGAATTTTATATTTGGACGTTCTATTTTTATATACCGTTTGTTTTCTTATGCCATTGTCTTTATATGTTTGCTAGCGAGCTGATTACACTTATTTTACCTCACCTAGGAACGTGTCTCATTTTTAACCAGCCTTAATACAGTCCTTCCGTAACATTGTGTCCGGCTCGAAGGACCACAATGTTACGGAAGGACTGTATTAAGGCTGGTTTCAAATCAAATTCAAATATATATATAAAAAACATAAAAACTATCAAAAAGGTTGCCATCATCATTGTCATTGCCATGGCAACAGTCTGTTTTCATTGATGCAATGTATATGTACTTCTATACTAATATTATAAAGACGAAGAATATTATTTTTATTCTTTGCATATTTTTATATGTTTTCTTTGAATGGGCAATGAAACTACTATTCTGATTTGAACAATTCTGTGATAGGTATGGAACAAACATTTATGGTAACAATTTTACTTTGTCCTGATGAAAATAGGCAATAGAATATTTTAAAAATGTTAGGAATCCGAAATAGGAAAATGAAAACTTCAATATGTAAAAAGAATCTTATTACGTGTACGGTACGGAAATTATAGATAATAGAGTATTGTGATGTACTTCAATTTTATAGAGGACATCAATGTCACAGGGTGTATATTTTTGTGTGTTTGTATATATTCAAATTTATAATTTGGTTAAATACCCGTGCGAAGCCGGGCCGGACTGTTGGTCAAATATAACATCGACTTGAGAATTTTAGTGAAATATTAACTATGACTTAAATTGTTATATTGCACTACTTGGAAGGACGAAATCCTATGTCTAAATCGTATTTTAAATTGTGAGGATACTTCTTGATATTTTCTGATCTCAATACAACAAAATTATGTTATAAAAATAAATGAATGGTATGTTGTACTGAGTTCAAAATAGACAACGGATCGTTACTTTTATTGCATTGTGTATGGAGGCCATGCACATCTATTTTTTATTATAATGGAATGGTTTCCCGCTAACGGTGTACGCTGGTGTGGCGCCTGTGAAGAATGATATGTTGAAAATGAAGTCAGGTCAGTTAGCCCATCTTGGCAAATGCCAATTTACTACGGTTTTTAGAGGGAACCGCGAGGACGTCATCCTGGCTACTAACAATGCCCTTACCATTTATAATCTATATGTAATTTTTTTAATTTCATCAACTAACACGCATAATTGTTAACTACATTGTAATTTCATTCGCCACGTGCGCAGGTTCAATATGGGCGGCGTTCTCCCGACGACTGCACACGCAACTGCAGCAGTTGCAGGCGTTACTGCAGTCTCTGCAGGGCGAGAGGACCGCGGGCAATGACCCGGAGCCCCTCGTCCGAGATTACTTCAACTTACACAAGATTATCGTGCTCGTCACTGATGTTGGCAAGGTAAAGCTGGATTATGTTCTTTTTTAATAGATGATAATAAATTAGAGTACCCGCCTACGCTAACGATATACGCTAGCGGGGCATCAGTGGAGGATGATAGGATGAGCATGAAGTTAGTCTATCGACAAATTTCATATATTAATAGATACTATTTTTACACAAAAATTGCAAGTTTAAATGATTAAGTAATTAAATACTTCTTTGTTCAATGGTCTTTATCCGCCATTTTGCAATAAGAATTAATAATTATTTAACCGCACGATTGAAGCACCAAGGAATGTACGAGCGGGCGGCGCACGCGTCTTTTTTGTGACGCTTAGCGTCACTAAGAGAACGAGAAAACCTCGGTATTCTCTCTCGAGAAAACCGATCTACTCGTGAAGGAGAGTTCGTGTAGAGGCAACTAAAGTGACAGTTTGTGATCGTTGTACAGATTTTCGGTATGGACAACCTGTCGGGCGAGCTGCTGTGGCGGCGCTACGAGCCGCAGCTGGACGCGGACGGAGCCCTCATATTCACCAGACGCTCGGCCAGACATCCGCCACATGACGCCTACATCACTATCGTGGGCAAACACGAGGTACTTAATACTACGTATACTTGTCTATTGTGGGTGAACACGAGGTACATAAGATGACATATGTTTAACTATAGTGAGTAAACATGAGGTATGAAATATGACGTATACTTGAGTATTGTGGGTGAACACGAGGTACGTAATATGACATATGTTTAACTATAGTGGGTAAACATGAGGTATAAAATACGACGTATACTTGAGTACTGTGGGTGAACACGAGGTACGTAATATGACATATGTTTAACTATAGTGGGTAAACATGAGGTATAAAATACGACGTATACTTGAGTACTGTGGGTGAACACGAGGTACGTAATATGACATATGTTTAACTATAGTGGGTAAACATGAGGTATAAAATACGACGTATACTTGAGTACTGTGGGTAAACACGAAGTACGTAATATGACATATGTTTAACTATAGTGGGTAAACATGAGGTATGAAATACGACGTATACTTGAGTATTGTGGGTGAACACGACGTACATAATATGACATGTTTAACTATAGTGGGTAAACATGAGGTATGAAATACGACGTATACTTGAGTATTGTGGGTGAACTAGAGATACATGTTTAACTAAATGAAAGTACTATCCTTCCAAACATTTATTAAGTAACATAATTTACAGGAAACCGGTAATGGGCTAATCATTAATTTGAACCCTATCCGCGGTGTTAGCGTCGGTGATAGTCGCTTGCATTTGGACGCCCCATTACTACAAGTGGCAATGCTACCACGTGCAGACGCGGATAAGCTACACGCACTATTACTACTCGACTCACACCGCGACGTGCTGGTACGTATCTCTCTCTCTCTCTCTCTCTCTCTCTCTCTCTCTCTCTCTCTCTCTCTCTCTCTCTCTCTCTCTCTCTCTCTCTCTCTCTCTCTCTCTCTCTCTCTCTCTCTCTCTCTCTCAATACTAAAAATGTAGTATCTATAATCAGAATATCTAGTATTGTATAAGTTTCTGAACTATATCTAGATAATCATGACACAGGTTTGTAAGTCAAAGTATGTATTAAGTTAACTGTAACTTTGACTACAGATTTCTACAATAAGGTCCCTGGTGTGGCCAAGCTATCGATCTTGACTATCAGTATACAAAATCTGACTAGATCGGCCATGTTGTGCCCATTACTTCAAATTAAGAAATCCTAGCAACCAAGTTATATGGCCCAAACATTCACAAAGTGTTCATTTATATAAAAATCACTTTACAGGTAAAATAATGAAAGGTGTTAATTACTAAAATTGATTTCTTCTACACAACTTTTGTTTATTTCATGAAACAATTTACAATTCAGGTCCTGGCTTAACTTTTCATTATCCTACATCTTTATTAACAGGTTTTACCGCTGTCAGCGGCGCCACTGGTACAGGACATGTACATGTATGTCGCTGAGAAAGAAACAGCGAAGGTGCAAGGATACTCGCTCAGATATGATGGAGTGGTGAGTCTGACACGAGTTTTCGCACAGTTGCAAGTTGGGATGATGATCATTTCCAGAGACTAGGTTTAAACCCTTGTGGATGTCTATGGATCAATAGTATTACTCTGATTGTGGCTTTAAACTAATAACGATCAATATGATCCATGAAATGTTTACACAATACCAGGCCAAAAGCGATTTACTCGAAGTTTTAATTTACCCTAAATTAATCATATATTAAGATTATGACTCTTGAGACCTAGCCCGGGATTAGATGGCACTGTGTGAATTGTAAGAATTTATATATATACAAACTTGTAACATTGAGATGTTTTCGTCGTTTTCAATGCGTACCTTAAACTCACCATTGTCACCCTCGCAGCGCGTGGTGGCGCAGCAGACGTGGTCGCTGTCGCTGGGCGGCGGTGGTGGTGGTGGCGGTGGTGGCGGTGGTGGCGGCGTGCGCGTGGTGCGCGCGGTGACTGCGGGCGCGGTGGGCGCGGCGGCGGGCAGCGTGCTGGCGGACCGCAGCGTGCTCTACAAGTACCTCAACCCCAACCTCGTGCTGTTCCTCGCTGAGGGACCGGACCCCGTGCATAAAGGTACCCCTCTGATTTATATACATGAACATTTGTTATATTTACCTATCAATTTTGTAGTAAATTCTCTCAATAATATACATGATGATCTTTTTTAGCCGTGTTGTAGAAATATATACTAAAACTATTTATAAAGGGATAAATATTGTAATGGTAATGGTAGGTACAGTGAAGTGACATGTATGGATTTTTTTTATAGTTGATTAGAGAATACAAAAATAAACTTTAAATATATTAATATCCAAAGAGTTTTTCAACTCATACCGATCACTTAGGGCATGACAAATATGAATTACACGCAAAAACATACTAAACTCTATGTACAAATTTCTATATAAGTACATAGACTTTTAGTTTGTGATATTAGGTTTTAAATGAACTTAAAAAAAAAAAATGAACTATGAAGAGGGAATTTAAAACAGGTCTTTTAAAAGAATTAATAATTGCTGTTTATTTTGTTTTTTCATTAGACAATTATTGACACAATTTTATGTTATATGTATTTTGTGCCATGTATTCATTATTTTTTTTTAAACTACTGTATTCCGTTTCCATAGAATTTATAGAAAAGGTAAACAAAAGCCATTAACCTATCTATAAACTATCTAGCGATGCCGATAGCAGTACGATTAAAGTAAATTATATCAATTGACAATATTTTCAAAATAAGAATTACTGTACATGAGTTCGTTCAAATCGGCGCGTGTTGTAATCGGTGTGGTGGTGTGGTGGTGTGGTGCCGCAGACGTGGTGGTGGCGTGGGTGGTGGACGGCGTGTCGGGCGGCGTGGTGGCGGCGCAGACCACGCGCCGCGCCCGCCTCGCGCCCGCCGCGCCCGCGCTGCTGGCCGGACACGCCGCCGCCTACGTCTACTACAGCGACAAGCATCGACGACACGAGATCGGTAACTATACTGCTTTGATTCATCCTCCACTGCTTTTACACGACACGATCAAAGAAGTGCATGGGAAAGCCAGCGCACCAAAATTCGAGTGAATAGTTGTGTTTACAAGACACGTATTTTTGTTAAATTTTAAACGCCAAATTTGAACGAATAGCTGCCTTATAGGAAACGTTCTTTCACGCTCGATTAAAAGCGCGGGGAAGCCAGCGCGCGAAGACTTGAGTGATTGCATTTAACGATTTATTGAGTGTCATGTAATTTCACTTTTAAATTTTTAAGATTTATTGCATAATTTTTATTGTTAAAAAACACATTTAAGATTTATAAATTATCAATAACTGTATCATAGTTTTTTTTGGACCATAGTCAGATATACGTCATTTTGCAATAGTTATTACAAATAATTAAAAAAAAAGTGAAATTACAAGTTAAGGGGATGACAAATAAATGGTATCGCCGACGCTAGATGATGTCGTATCTGTCTATCCGTATCCTGTATATAGATCGTACCGCTGTTACATACATCTTGAAACTTCGTCATAAAATGACGTGCGTTATTCTGGCGTTTAAATCTACTGCAAATGCGGGCCAATTTCAAATAATGAATGTCAAAGACCTTCAATTACATATATAATACAGCTACAATGGAACTGTACGAGGGCAAGGAGCGTTGGTTACCGGCGGGCGCGGCGTTCAGTTCGCTGACGTGCGAGCGAGCGCCCAGCGTGCAGCGGCAAGCTTACATCCTGCCCGCGGCGCCGCTCGCCGCCACCTTCACCGTCACTGAGAGATCGCTCGCAGACATACACGTTTTATGTAAGTTACTACCTATACATCGTACATTGACCCACCAGGGAGACTCGGAAAACGTATATAGGCCAAGGTATTCAATAAATAATTTATGGGGTGTTAAGACATATCGAAATATTTGACAATTATAGTATTGTCTCTCAGTGCCTTGACTGTCCGAGTGGTTGACACATCATTTTATATCTGTATATATCTGCCTTGTACAATAGATTAGTATATTTTGATATATATATAATAGAATAGATCTTTATTGCTAACAGTGACTACACTATTTACAATAAACACATGTATCAACATTTACACCTTATTGGGCAAGCAACAATTAACAATAAATATATTTGAACATCGTATCATATATACTCGTAGATATAAATTATAATTCTGCTCAAATAAAGTGTCGAAAACTCGAACGGAGTGGCTCGTTCGTACTGAGTTTGGCGGTGTGTCGCAGTGGCGCTGTCGTCGGGCGCGGTGGTGGAGATTCCGTGGGCGGCGGTGTCCGCGAGGAGGTCGGTCATCGCCGATGACGAGGGCCTGCCCCCCTACCTGCCCGAGCTGCCGCTGCCGCACGACGCCGTGCTCTCCTACAACCGCTCGCTGCAGCGGCCACGAGCGCTGCACGCAGCGCCCGCCGGCCTCGAGTCCACCAGCCTCGTGCTGCTCACCGGCCTCGGTGAGTGTGCCTCGTGCTCTCCTACAACCGCTCGCTGCAGCGGCCACGAGCGCTGCACGCAGCGCCCGCCGGCCTCGAGTCCACCAGCCTCGTGCTGCTCACCGGCCTCGGTGAGTGTGCCTCGTGCTCTCCTACAACCGCTCGCTGCAGCGGCCACGAGCGCTGCACGCAGCGCCCGCCGGCCTCGAGTCCACCAGCCTCGTGCTGCTCACCGGCCTCGGTGAGTGTGCCTCGTGCTCTCCTACAACCGCTCGCTGCAGCGGCCACGAGCGCTGCACGCAGCGCCCGCCGGCCTCGAGTCCACCAGCCTCGTGCTGCTCACCGGCCTCGGTGAGTGTGCCTCGTGCTCTCATCTACAACCGCTCGCTGCAGCGGCCACGAGCGCTGCACGCAGCGCCCGCCGGCCTCGAGTCCACCAGCCTCGTGCTGCTCACCGGCCTCGTGCCTCGTGCTCTCCTACAACCGCTCGCTGCAGCGGCCACGAGCGCTGCACGCAGCGCCCGCCGGCCTCGAGTCCACCAGCCTCGTGCTGCTCACCGGCCTCGGTGAGTGTGCCTCGTGCTCTCCTACAACCGCTCGCTGCAGCGGCCACGAGCGCTGCACGCAGCGCCCGCCGGCCTCGAGTCCACCAGCCTCGTGCTGCTCACCGGCCTCGGTGAGTGTGCCTCGTGCTCTCCATCTACTGCTCGCTGCATTCGGTTCCTTTACACGACACGTTCTTTCACACCCGATGCTTTAGAAAGCCAGCGCGCGCAATCGTGTGTGATTGCATTATTTTCCGTAGACACGATTAAAATTTATAAATTATCAATAACCCTCTTAAATACACATTTTACAACATCTTTTCTTATATAATTGCAGATCTGTTCTACACCCGAGTGGCACCTTCGAAAACATTCGATCTCCTGAAAGATGACTTCGACTACAACCTCATCTCTATAGTCCTGGTGGCGCTCGTGGTGGCCACTTACAGCACCAAGTACTTCGCGTCACGAAAAATGCTCAGGGTGGCCTGGAAGTGATGTTTGTATCCTATATAGTGATTTGCAATCGATACCGGCAATCTGGACTGTGAGACGAGAGTAGTATGGCTTAAATTCGTTTGCAGGAACGTCTGCTAATAAATTTGAGACTAGATGGCGCTGTGTGAATATGCGCTCATGCCTATACTGTCTAGAAGAGTAAAAAAGTATAAACTATTAATTATACTCAGACACTCTAGTAATTTCATATCAAATATGTTAGAATAGAGGAAATTCTATTCTTTACGCTTTGTTATCTTCTCCTAATGATTCACTTTGATGACCTTATCCGTAGAAACCTTAAATTCTTTGATTTATAAGTATTTTATTTTGAGTTATGTTCCTTTTAATATTTATTTTATTTAAAAATATTGAATTAAGGATAGTAATTGCTAATCAATTTTATACTCGATTATATATTCGATTCATAGTATGATTCCTACAAACGATTTTAAGCTATAGGACCCTGATGAGATGTCGCTTTTGTATACATTTCTATAGGCGACTTTTATACTACTATATATAATATAAAATATCGTTCCAATTTTAGTATATGTACTGCCGAAGCAAGTACATATAAAATATCAAATTATAACTTTGTACGATTTGTTCCCAATATTATATATAACTATTTCGTCTATCTCATTCATTTAGTATTGATATAAAGAAGACAGCAATAATTGTAAAAATGAAATTACAGGATAAGAGGCATCATCATGACATCTTAGACCTCTAGAATAGCAACGCATGAGTGGTATCACGGTGTCTCATGATAACGTGATGTTCATGTCGGCGACGCTTACCGTTTACCATCGGGTGAGCCGCCAGCTTGTTTCTCTTTCTAATTTTTCACCAATTATATTTGCGCCTAAGGAATTGAATTCCCATTGCTATCGTTCATCTCATAGTCCAGATAGCGCTAATTTTAAAAAGATTTTTAAAGGAAACATAAATATGATAGTATTGTGGTCGTGCATAGTGATTTTCGAATAAGTAAAATACACACATTATTACTGCAGACCAAAAGAAAAGTCAAGAGGGGACGTGACTTACAGTAAAAGTAAGCGTACCAAACTATACTCGTATCATATAAAAACATTAATTTTGACAAAAAAAAATTACAATATTTGTATAAACAAAATTATTATTAGAATTTGTTTGAATTTGACAAAAAAAAAAAGAATTCAATTTATGTAATAATAAACTTCTAAAAAATATAAACAAATAATTATATTACAAATATGAAAAAATAACTGCATTTCTACTTATTTTTCGGTTTTTTTGGCTAGGATCGTGAAGTGAAGTGTAAAGTTTAGGGTAATCATTACTTAATTTATTGTAGTGTTACCTCTTGACGTTTCTGTTGCTCTGGATTATTAAAAATAATGTATAATATATTATTATATGTATATTTTACACAATAATAGATGATTTGTTCAAACATATTATTTATTCATAGTAGTGTGCCTTTTTAAGAATGTAAATTTACATGGTTACTTCATAATCTAACGTCACCTAATTCAACTGTGTTCCTTTCTGTCGATATTACGTATATACTTGTGAATTTTGTATCGATCTTTATATCTTTTATATGATGATATACTTTTTTTCGGAGTTTACTTCAAATCAAATTTATTTCCGGCAAACATAGGTTTACATTGGTTGTCATTGTAGAATATAATGTCCCATTATAGTTTGCCTCATGCTTGTGCTTGTTTTTGGTTGTTCACGCATTTTTAATTCGTTCTCTATTTTAAAACGATATAAATATAAATTACAGTCATCTAGAAGTTATGAATACATTGATATTTGATAATCATAATCATCTGAAAACTATGATTGATTAATGGAATAACTCGCTCGACAATTTTTTGTAATATAAAATTTATATTAATCTTAATGTAAATTGTATTAAAATGAATGAATGGTATGAAATAATTAAAAAAAGTATAGATAGACACACTACTGAAGGCATCGGGGTTGTTAATCTTAAAACAAAAGTTATATATAATATTTTCGAGAGTGTGGTGGTATTTTCGAGATTGTGGAGATATTCTCGAGAATGTGTGGGAGAGTTATACTGTGAACCTGATAACATTTATGAAGAAATTGAATAAAAGATAATATTTACTCCTACAAAATGCAAAATGTCGTACAACATCGTATAAGTATTAAGACCTTGTATTTGTGAAAATCTCGTTGACAACCCAGGAAGGCATACTACATTGAATAGACAATTATAATGAACATGTTAAGTAGTTAGTGCAATTTAGGTATATTATTTATTAGAAAGTGATTGGTAAATGTTTTATTTGGTCAAACAAAACCATTCCAGGATATATCAGTAAATAAAGGACGAAGTAAAGTTATTGTTGCATTCTAAAAGAAAAACAGATTGTCGTAAATATTAGGGATTCCGGTTGTATAGAGTGAGAAATGTAATTGTTTATATATGCAGGGTTAGTGATAAAAGTCGTACCGCCGAAAACAAAATACAGTTTTTTATTAAAAGTACAAACTTTTCCGAGAAGTCAGAAATAGAAAATGTCGCTTGTCCTTGGGCAATATCCGAAAATCTTTGGTATTAGGTGAGGACACAAGACTCGACTTCACGAATGTTTATAACTGTCCAATGTAGTAGTATATTTATTGTATATCTTTTCTCGTATTTCACTGTATTTGTGTTTAAACTATTGTAATTTTCTGTAAAAGGACAAAAACAAAATGAAGTGAAATAAAGAAAAAGATACACATAAAGATCCCTGAATCATACTGCGCGGTCACGTGATCAACTTAGTTTCTGTGTGAAAGCAATACTGTGTTAATAAGGATGAATCTGGCTATTATATATAATGTACTTTCTGACTAACCCTGTATAAAATATGGCGATCTTTTAATCGATGTATATTTAGCTGCACTACACTATATCAATCTATGTTATACTTATATATATAATAAGATCTATTAAACTGAATAATATAAATGTAGATAGTATATTATATTGTCACGCCATCAATTCATATTACTTAGGGAATGTTAAGATGTTTTTAGTGAACTGGTATTTTATTTGTGTATTGCGGTTGTTTTCCCATAACAAAGCATGACGTAATAAAAACGTTAGTCTAAGAATATACAGAGACGTAAATATCGGACGCGCTACGCAGGCGTGGAATTTAGAGAATTCCTGTGCAGTTCAATTTTAGTACAGCATATATGGGAAACTGTTGTGACCTGACTCTTATGATATGTCAAATCTACCGTCAGTTCGGTATGCTATCGAGCTAGGAACTAACAAATTCTGCTCTTATTATTTTTCAAATAAGTTTGTACATCTTTACAAAATTACAGATTCAATTTCAAATTTAAATTAGGGAGAATAGTGACCACCAGTATATGTTGATTCATGTAAACATATTGTTTACAAAAACCTGTGCTGTGCTGAATTGTATCTGTGTCTCTGTATACGGCTAGGCTTAAGGTTATTTGTTCCATATAGTTAACCAAAGTAATATAACTAGTTATCTTAAAGGAAAAGATACCCGTTTGGTCACCTTGTTTTTTAACTGCAAATAAACTGAACTTACGATCTTATATATCATCGTAGAAACTTTTTCATCATAGGTAATTTTTATTTCATTACTTTACTACGAGAAAAATGTTTTGTTTTATAATATTATTATCTAATGGGAAAAGGTACTATAATGGTAACTTTATAAGTCATCCGAAACGGATGGTCCTATGCTGTGTTTTGTTATTTCATAACTTTGTGTTAGTTGTTCCTGTTATACACGGAGCAACTGTCGCTTTGATTCATCTTTGTACTAATAATTGAATTACGACGGCCTCGGTGGTCTAGCAGTTTAGCACACCGCCTTACTTCTTATGGTCGCGGGTTCGATTCCGTACGGCATAAACATTTGTATTTATGTATGATTGTTTGTATCGGTCTGAGTGTTTTCTATGTATAACATGTATGTGTTTACAAAAAATCTATGCATTTGTCTGGTACCCATAACACAAACTTTAGCTAGTTTAACTTGTGTCAAAAAAAATATAGATAACTTACGATCCATAGTTATATTTTAAAGAACGTAAAATTGTTACTACTTTTAACGTTCTACTGATACTTGATGATTTTATATATCGAATACATACATACGATTCGAAGTTTTATTTTAACGATAAAGTTCTTGTTAGGTTTCTCGCTCCGTGTATAGCATATGTATCATGAAGATTTATTAATTGATTGGGAATGTATAAATGATTTCAAGTCAATCGATATAAATGATTTGATATCGATTGACTTGTTTTAATGCGATAAATTCCGATTGAATAATAGATTGAGAACTTTGTTCTAATAGTCTTATACTTTATAAGTAGAATGCATTTGATTTTTTTGCGTTTATTTTGAACATACGTGTACAATGTTAAGTTCTAATTGTCAAAATGTATATTAACTTAAAAATGCCGTTCGCATGTTGTTGCTCACGAACAATATAATTATTATATGACTCAATTATTTTAACTAGTTCAAAACTATATAGTTTTATTGATATTGCTGATTCACTGTGTGTTAGACAAATAAATGTAGATAAGTCAAGAAATACATAAAATTTATAGGTGCAGGTTTAATTATTAAAATAATCAACAGTAATAGATATTATTAATCTTCTATACTTAATTAACGAAGAATTGTTAAGTTTTTTTTCTAAAGAATTTAATTAAACAAATATTGCATTTATTTATTACTATCAGCCACGGCTTCGTAAGGATGTACATGTATTATACATATAAACCTTCCTCTTGTATCATTTAAAAACTGCAATAAAATCCGTTGCAAAGTTTAAAAGATCTAAGCGAACAGACAGCTGTAGCGACGGCTTACTATGTAAAGAGTTTTTTAAATTGTTTCGAGAATAGGTGCAAAAAGTGCATTTTACTAGGTGTATCTATTTGTTAAAATAATTGAGTATATACTTAGAATTAAGTCTAAAGTATTGTTTAATATTCTGTTATTTGCTTTTATATCAAATTTAATAGACTTAATAGCGTAACGGTTGTATATTGGTAAGTTGTTGTGAGTTGAGTCGCGTATATAACATTCATTTTGTACAATAAATGCACGAGTATATAATGTATATTCATATAATTTAATTAATAACTATTCAATATTCTTTCTCAATAATATTTCAGTTGTTACACATAATATAATGCTATACTAGTAGTGTTAATTTTTTTTAAAGGCATCGGTTTAACGTTAAACGAACAGTATTTAGCTAAGGTTAATGCGTTTGCTGAACAATTTATAAGGTTACCAAATGAATTAGAATTTATTAAGTTAAAGGTATGGTCTAATAATTTGTCGTTCGGCGCTAATGTATTGGTTTTCACCGCACATCTTTTTTTAATAAGCGTTAGTTTTGTATGTCTTTTTAATTGATTAAATAACAATAGCTTTAAAAATGGTTTATTCCATAATATAAAGCAACTTATTCTACATACCGTTAGGCCTTTTATCCTGGATGTGGTAATTGTAGAACTCAGAGGCATTCTCATCTCGATTATTACAGTTATGAGGACTTGCATCCGCTGAGTGTATTTTAATCCAACATGGCCGTCCTCTGCCATTTTGGATTCAACTATAGGCTATAGCTTAGCGCCGTCTCCCGCACTATTTTTGTTTCTTCACTGAAGTAATATAAACCATTTTTAAAGTTAAATCAAGTTAATGCAATGAACAACTATTGATAATGTTCATTTATAGATCAAAACTACCAGTTAGAAATTATAAGATGTGAGAGTGGTTACAGTAGATTGTGTTCTGTATATCGAAATGGGTATTTGTTTCTGTCGAAAGTTTTTTTATATAAAATAAAAACGAAATACTGCCATTCAGTGTTTTATTTTTAATCCTTACTATGTAATATTATGTTATCTGTGCCCTTACTAATATTATAAATGTGAAAGTAGGTATTTTTGTTATCCTTTCACGCAAAAACTACTGAACCGATAATCATAAAATTATGTACACATGTTCTTGGAGGTATTAGAATGAATATAGGATACTTTTTATTAAAAAAATAAATATTTTTTATGCAAAATATCAACATTTTGCTACTTCAGCGCCATCGAGCAGCCAGCAATGAAGTTATGCGAGAGAAGCCGCGGGTAAAGGCTATATATTACTTAAAACTAATTAACTAACAGCATGATTGAATGTCAATTTGATTTTGGTTGTAGTCTTTATTTGTGGGATGATACGGTTTGTTTCTGTCGAAAGATTTTTATTGTTACCAATATTATTAATGCGAAAGTAACTCTTGTCTATCTCGCTTTCACGCTAAAACTACTGCACCGATTTAAATGAAATTTGGTACACCTATATTATAGACCCTGAGAACGGACTTAGGCTACTTTTTAATGTGAAAAAAGGGTTGAAAGAGATGAAAGTTTGTATGGAAGAGTAGTTTTAAAAATGACAATACATTTTTAAAACTAGACTTGCAATTTATTTTTTAAGTTGTTCATTAAATATAAATAACTATGACGTTCAAATGTTATATAGAAATCGTCATTGATGTATATTGCATTTATTGGGCATAGCTAGTATATAATAAAAATTAAGTACTGTCATTGTTCTGTTTTTAATATCTATATAAAACTAATTAACGGCATGATCAAAATTGTCTTTATTTATGGAATGCTACGGTTTGTTATTTTTTTATATAAAATAAAAATGTATTTTTGCCATTCAATGTTTTATTTTTATATCTACATAAAACCTATTAACTAACAGTATGATCGAATATCAATTTGATGTTCGTTATATAGTCTTTATTTATGGGCTCGTACGGCGTGCCGGTGACTGGCTGCAACGCTATGTGTTGTGTTGACGGCGGTTGCAACACGTGGTCGTTGTCGCAACGTTGCCTCAGGTGGTGCCAGGCGGCGCCGTAGTCGTACTCTAGGATTGTCTTAAAGAATTCCACGGCTCTTGTCTGTAATAATAAAATAAATAAGTCTGGACAATTAACACAGGGCTATCTAGTACCACAGTAAGCAGAGCCTTTGCTATGGGTACTAGAAAACCGATATTAATACCAGTGGCACTCAATGAGGAAGTAGCCATTATTATTGCTAAAAGTTGCATATAGATGGCGTGATTGGTATCGATGGAATTCTTCATAGTTTTGCAAACGTTTTAAAAAACAAAACTGTGTTTTCAAAAATGTTTAATCAATTTTTAAAAAGTTATATATACATGTTAAAATGAAATAATGCGTTTAGAAAAGTAATTTTCATATATTTACTCATTTTGTTATGTTCCAGTACTTAATTACACTTTAATCAGTGCTAATATGGGGCTCAATGTTTTCAAAATGCTTTCATAGATGGCATTGTCGTCATTTGTATCGGCCTAATTAAATGTCTTTTTTATATTTTCCAATAATAAGCACTTAATATATTATTATTGTAAATTAAACATATAAAATTTTTTTAAGTAAATTAAAAATAGCCGAACAAGCAAGTAATAATATTTCCAATAATACTTATGTATGAAGTGTTGTCATATTATAAATAAATACATGTATTATCGATTTTTTTTAATAATCGATAACAGGATTTTATTACGCATTATTCGATGATGCTTTTAATGAGTCGTTGTGAACAGTAAATTTTCATTATTTTGTATTATAGCAGTGTTCCGTTTCAAAGAACGGAATATAGTAGTACATTATTAGTGTCGTTGGTTATTTGCATTTGTACTGAAAAATCGATTACATAATAATTTAAAATATCGAGTACGAATCGTAGTTGTCTTCGAATACTGGCAACTGGTAAGATTAAATTAGTATTTAAAAAAAGAAAGAAATCGATCCTAATTCGAATACCATAAAGTTGATTTTCCTTTCTCATTAATATCATAGCAGTTTGTTTTTAACTTGCGTATGACTCTGTGGTATGATGTTTAACGTGTATTGTTATTGTACGGTGCATACATTTCAAAAATTATATTTTAATGTAGGTACATACATTACTTTCATACATTTCAAAAATTATATTTTAATGTAGGTACATACATTTCTTTCATACATTTCATACATGTCAAAAATTATCTTTTAATGTAGGTACATACATTTCTTTCATACATTTCATACATGTCAAAAATTATCTTTTAATGTAGGTACATACATTTCTTTCATACATTTCATACATTTCAAAAATGAACTTTTTATGTAGGTACTTACATTTTTTTCATACATCTCATACATTTCAAAAATTATATTTTAATGTAGGTACATACATTTCATAAATGTCAAAAATTATCTTCTAATGTAGGTACATACATACATTTCTTTCATACATTTCATACATTTCAAAAATTATATTTTAATGTAGGTACATACATTTCATACATGTCAAAAATTATCTTTTAATGTAGGTACATACATTTCATACATTTCAAAAAGTATCTTTTAATGTAGGTACATAACACCCCATGTCAGACCCCTTGTATTTGGAAGAAACTTAAAAATAATGCCAAAAATATTAGATGAATATATTTTTAATACGAATATTGTTTTATTTTTGTTCATCAACTTTATCCCTCACTAACAATACTAGTAGTAGTACATAACCTGGTTTATACCGCTAAAGATATTGAAAGATATACGAGTAATTCAGAATGTTTGGCGTGAAAGCGAGACAAATAGACAGACTGAGTTACTTTAGCATTTATAATATTTTTAAGAATATCGCTATTAAAAATAGGGGTTGGTGAAAGACGGGTGAAAATTTAGGCGTGTATGTATTTTCAATGTAACATTATAAATAAAAAAAAATTGTCCATAATACAAAAAAATATTTTTTCGGGGTAGGCCACCCCTATGACTTAGGGGTATAAAAAATAGATAACAACCCTACCTCAGACCTGGCAAGTATACATATCAATTTTCATCATGGGAGAAATATGGCAACTAACACTGTGATACAAAATTTATATATTGTAATACACTACCTCTAAGTAGATATATATATATAGCGGCGCACCCGCCGGTAGCCTCGCGCTGTTGGCTCGTTGCTAAGCAACGGATACCCCGGTAGCGGTTGGGTAACGGGAGGCCGGCGGCAGTTGGTCGTTGAATACCGCACGCAGCGCAATAGTCTTACAACTTATTTTAATTATTTTTATGACGATCCAACAATATAAGATATAGCGGAATTCTCATTAGGTAAAAGAGGGGTACATCGTAGAATACATGAGGTATATACCAGTAAATTAATTGTAGCTAAAATCAGTCTCATACATATAACGATTGAAATAAAAAAACGTATAGCCCGATTTTGATACGTACGAGTATAAACGTATCAAAATCAGGCTATACGTATAGCGCAGACGCGTTACAACATATCAAAAAAAATAGGCATGGAATGTAAAATAAACCATAACATAATAGGTATATACATTGGCACATAAGCCATATCTGCAGAGTGTCGGCTAACGATATTATACCTACACATTTACATTGAATCTTGAATCGTCCCTAATGAGGTACACGATACAGTAACCTACATATCTATTATATACATATCTTTGCAAAACAGATGTCATGTAGCTGAATTGACTGCCATCTATTTTCATGCTTTGTTACTAAGCACCCACTAGTAATCCGAACTGCTTCAAATCTAGCGACATCTAGCGGCTACGGTGGCGAAATAAAATAGCCCGAAGAATAGCCCGAGTTAGGAAGGAACCATTTTCTTGTATGGGATGGGGTATCTGTATGTAATATTATGTTATCTGTGTTAATACTTAGTTTTTTTTATAAATACATAATACATATAGAAAACACTCAGACCGTGCGAGGAATCAAACCCGCGGCCATCGAAGTTATGTGATATACTAAACCGCTAGAATACCGAGGCCGTAAACATCAAATCTGTAACATACCTAGATTCTTGTCAGTTCTTCGTGGTTCGAACTACTTTCAGAACTGTAGATCTGAATTATAAGCATATATAATTAGACTAAGACGTATTTGATTTGTTTATTCCCAGATTATTTTATATTGTTTATGTATAATAATAGAATGGTGCACCCGCCTGCACTAATAGTTTACGGGGCAAGAGTGGAGGACGATAAAATGAACATTAACTCAGGTCAGTTGGTCCATCTTCGCAAATGACAATTTACCATGATGATATCCAGGGGAACCGCGTGTAGGTCAATCTGACATGGTACTTTGTTAACAATTGGGTCATTAGTCTACATTACTAACTATTCCCTTCCCCGCTCAGTTTACTGGTATCACGATAAAGTCCTAACGTACCTGCAGAGGTTTGGGTTGTTTATTCGACAAGTAAACATTGACGCAGTTCATCGCTTCTGTCAATTGTTCATCTTCAAGTCGGAGATTCACTGCGAGGTGCGGCAGGGCGGCGAGTGACGCTTCCTGCAATACGAACGCCTGGCTGTTCCTATAAGCCGACCCTGCATCCTTTAGGTAACTCTCGAATGATGATTTATGAAGATTTAAGTAGATTTTCGGCAGGACCTCCCTGTTGACAAGAGATATTTATTATTACCAGGTCACTAAGTGGTCGACAATAATTATTTAACACTCAAAGCTCTCCAGTTCAGTTGGAAACAAAAATGGTACTGGGCAGGGCATTTGGCGCGATACAAAGGCAGGAGGTGGACTATTGTAACTACAAAATGGCTAGGCCCGACAGGCTAAAGAAGAGTAGGACGGCAGAAAAAAAGATGGGCTCATGACATAAAAATTATGCAGGAAAAGACTGGATGCAAAGTGCCATGAATAGAGAGGGTTGGCAGAAGATGGAGGAGGCTTTTACCCGAGGGCACCACATAAAAAGAAAAAATAAATAATATATATATCTAAAAATATATATTTAAATATATGTATAGACAAATAACATTAAAGAGTAACAATATTATTCTATTCTCAATTTGACCACAGAACAATAAACAAGAGTATCATATATATGTCAAATATATGGTGACATGTGTAATATTATATGTAACATCATAATATTTTTAGACCGTAAGGACAGAATATATAATAAGAAAATATTGACTTACTTAACAGTCCTACTAAATATGAAATCCTTGGACACGTCCGCCAAAGTCAACAGCAGATCTAGAGCTTTAGTCACTCGGGGTATATCTTCAGCCATGAAGCTGGCCACCAGCGGCGCCCAGCACTTGTGCACCAGCGGCAGCAGTTCGTCCTGATGATGTTGCAGCTGCCGCAGGCCCGTGTTCACCACCTGCAGCGCCAGTATAGCTTCGTCGCGACTGCGCGAAGTGATGAAGTGTATGCACCGATTTATGATCGTTGTTGTCACTTTTATGTGTTGGGGAAGAGGCGGCTTTTCCTCTGTAAGTAACGGGATGCAACATATATTAAACTTAATAAAACAATTATTTCTTCAACATTACGATAAAACAGCGCTCTTTTACTACTCCACATATTTACAATTTTTTTCATAAGAAACGATTTACCTTTATAATCAGGTTATTGTTAGCTTCCTGGCCATTCCAGTTATTAATAAAACAGTTATACAAATTAATACAATAAAACGTAAATACAGTAGCTATGGTGATGAACTGCAAAATCAAACCGAAATATATTCATATAGATCTATTACTGACTCTTGTGAAATGTTAATACTACCGGAGTTTCGAGCCAAGAAGAACTGACAAATAACTCGGCCCTTATTCTTTTCAAATGAGCTTGTACACGATTACAAAAATACAGATTCATTTTTAAATTCAATCAGGAAGAATATAGTGACCACCGGTATATGCCATTGCATTTTTGTTGAAAAGAAATAATTTAACCAGTGGCTGTAACCTAGTGGCCACAAGCAGCATCAGTTATTATGAAATGTGTAAAAAAAATCATAAACTAACCAGTAACTCGATCGTCATAATCTAATAGACCATCCTGTTTACTTTTTAAATCTTCCTTATACATTTCTTCAACACTCTTTCCAGTTTCATGCTCAAACTCCTCATTGCTCATCAGTCTCTCAGATTCTTCTGTATTCTTTATATATTCTTTGAGATCACTAAATATGTCTATATTCGAGTTTTCATTATTATTAACCGTTTTGTTTGTGTCCTCTAGTGGGTACCATTTTCGTATGCATTCCATGAATGTTAGGAACACTTGTAAATAATCATATAGATTGTTTTCATAATATTTATCACAACTTTGGACTAGAACCTGAAATATAATACTAATTAAGACATACACATCATTTTCTAAAGGTTCATAATGTTGCCTTATAAATGCATTTAGTTGTTTTGTTGCATCTAGTATTTTTTAATATTATGTAAAAGATAATAATAAAAAATACCTTATGGATTCAAATCAATGAAATTTGGTATACGAATACATCTAACAAAAATATTCTAAACTAACGGATAAGACTTTTTACGCAATTTCTTGTAAGTAGAACCGAGGTATACAGCTAGTATTATATATATAATTTAATCATCATCATTATAATTTAACATGAAAATCAATTTATTTTTTTACATTTGATAGTTAATTGTTGTGATTTCACACATTGAAGTACTAAATTAGATAGGAATTTTTATACATAGTATTTCAGATACAAATATAATGCTATTAAAACCCAGTCAAACACTGTTCGCCCGGATGCATGCGTGTAAAAGATAGTACAATATATTTGTGCACAACTTACATCTTCCACAATACTGTACAGACAATCCGACATACTGACATCACTGTACTTCATGACCACACTGAGTATCTGCAAAGCTGATTGACTATTCCATGCCTGCAATGAAATTAAGAGAAACATCTATTAGAACTTTGTTAAATTTAGAACTGACGGTTAATATTATGACTACAATTTTATATTTAGAAAGAGTGAGATTTTATCTTCTGTTTGTTCATTTAAATTTTCGCTGTTGACATATTACGAGACCTTTACCTTTTACCGATTATATATACATATTTTTGTGTCTAAAGGACATGTTGACTCTAAAACTGTTGTGCAGAAGTGCTAATGTCTAATAATTACTATACATAATACATAACATATATATATATATGTGGGATTGGTATGTAACGGAACGACTGTGTTAACTTAATGATGTGTGCATAAATTGAAACGTGAATGACGAGAGAAGAGATATATAAGTGAAGGGAAATGATTGAATGAATTGAACGCTAGAACGAGAAACGACGAATATTTCTAGCTGAATATTAGTGCTTTCATTTCAATTCTGAAATAAAATTCATAACGCACAAAAATTCTATTATTTCGAATCTCCGGACCTACATATAACTAACATTTTTGGTATCTATTTAAACTTTTATATAAATAGTTCTGTGAGATTATGTAATTATATGTCAATTAATAAATAATAATAATAATAATAATAATATATTTATTTGTCAGAATATGGTATGTACAATGGTGGTAAGTATATATAATATATGTTTCATCATATTCTGCTGTTTCCAGCGTACAAATATTAAATCAATCAAGTCATTATAAATTCTAAATATTACTCATTCACCATAACTTCTCACTTTAAAAACATTATGGAATATAATAGAATGTCAATATTTCATTAATTGTCAACATTTTATTTTAATTCTAAATAATTCAATTGATTGATACTATTTCGAAATACATCACAATCACATTACTAGCCGTTACTTGTCATTAAGGAATTCATCAATTGAATAATAACATTTTTCCAGTATCCATGAATATACACGTTTTTTAAAGAATGTGGTATTGAGACTTTTAAAATTGTCTGGTAATTTATTATAAATACGGATCGCCATGCAATATACATTATTTGAATAAACGGTCAATTTCTGTCTAGGATTTTGAATTTTATAAATATTAGTGCTCCTTTTGCTCAGTGTCGTTTTTCTGAAATGAATTTGTATTAGTATGAACAAATACACATATGTGATAAATATATAGACTGGGTAATGGTAATATCTTATTTGCTATGCATAATGGCTTACTATCCCGCGTCTTGGCACATATATGATGCATTTCTTTTGTGTCTTAAATGCCCTATGCATTTCTACTGAGTTGCCCCATAAAATTATTCCATATCGCAGGTTAGATTCAACGTAGCCTCGATATGCTGAAAGTGCTGCTGAAAGTGTTACTGTCTTTCTAATACGATTTAGAACGTATACAAATTTGTCTAACTTTTTGCATATGGTATTAATATGTTCATTCCAACTACAGTATTTATCCATTACTATTCCTAAAAATCCTGTGGAGCCTACTGATTCAATTTTGTTTTTTTTATAGGATATATTCAAATCTATATCAGTTTTTTTTTAGTTTGGAATTGAATTATCTTTGTTTTATTCATATTGATGTTCAAATTGTTTGTTACTAACCAGTCTATTACCGATATTAGTTGATTGTTTATTTTTGTTTCATAAGATATTTCGTTTTTATTCTGAATAAGTAAAGTAATGTCATCTGCATACAATACACACTCACAGTTAACAATGTCAGGCAAATCATTAATATATGCAATAAACAAAAAAGGGCCCAGTATGCTACCTTGAGGTACTCCAAGCCCATTCACTGCGTATTTGGATCTATATGTTTGTTTACGCGAATTCAATGTTTTTGTCACTTCTGTACACTGTCTTCTTTCACATAAGTAGCTTTCCAACCATTTATTAGCTTTTCCTCGTATACCATATCTATCAAGTTTATCCAATAAAATGTCATGACGAACATAGTCAAAAGCCTTTGAAAGGTCTAAAAAAATAGCTGTTATTGGTGTGTGGTCATTAAGGCTTTCTGTTATCTTTTTTACCAAAGTAAAACCAGCTAGTGAGGTCGATTTGTTCTTTCTAAAACCAAATTGCTTTTCAGTCAATACGTTGAATTTATTAAAAAAAGCGTCAACTTTATTGTACATTGCCCTTTCTATTATTTTGGCTAATATAGTTACAAGTGCAACTGGTCTATAATTATCGATGTCCGTTTTATTTCCTTTACCCTTGTACAAAGGCTTAATAACTGAGTCTTTCAATCGTGTTGGAAAGTGTCCTTCAGTAAAAGATAAATTTATTATATGGGCTAATTCAACCGATATAGATTTCTTGCACTGCTTTAAAATTTTTGTGGTAATATCATCGTATCCTGCTGAATTTGTGTTTTTTAATGAGGTAATTATTTTTTCTACATCTGTTTAATGAAACATATATATAAAAAAATAAACATATATATAAACACATATATAAATAATAGCATATATTTGACACCCATTAATGAATGGGTGTCAAATATATGCTATTATTATTAGATTTTATTTCATAGTTACGATAATTCTTATCATTAATTGTTATATTTTCATGAGTCCGGTATATAAAATGATTGTTAAATTGTTCACATATTATTTTAGGGTCATTATAAGTCTTTTCATTTATTTTTATTTCATTTATTTCATCTCTATTTACTTCTGACTGCATATTGCTTTTTATGATGTTCCAAGCAGCTTTACATCTATTTTTTGCATTGATAATATATTCCGTGTTATTTATTTTTTTGTGCTTGTAGTATGCAGTTCCTCAATATTTTTGAATATTGTTTATATTTTATTTTATTTAACTTTTTATTGGATTTATTTAAATGATATTTCAAATACAAGATTCTTTTAACAATACAGCATTTCTTAAGTCCTTTTGAAATCCATCTTTTTTTTTGTATTTTTCTTGAATGTTTTATTGTTATTATAGGGAAGCATAAGTTATATAAGAGGGTTAAAATATTATGGAAGTTATTGAATGCTGCTTCTGTTTTGGTTTCATGTAAAACATCATCAAATGTGAGTGATTCCACATATTGTTGATATTTCTTTATATTATCGTAACTATAGTCTCTACGCTTCTCAAACCAGTAATCATTATTAGTATTAAAAGTATTTGTTAAAGCTTGAAAACTTATTATTTGCGCAGTTTCATGATCTGACAGGCAAAGGCTATGTAAACTAGATTGTACTTTCGTAATATTGGAACATATTAGGTCTATACATGTATTCTTCCTGGTTGGTTTATCAATGTGAATCCTAATATTGTGATTGCTAAGTATTGATGATAATTCAGTTGAAAGTTTACAATTTTTAATCAGATCGATATTCCAATCCCCACAAACAATTAAACTTTTTTTAGTATTTTTGCTCAATGTACCTAAAAGTTCATCCAATTTATTAAAAAATATTTTTGGGTCTGATTTTGGCACCCTATACAGGCAAACAACTACAATGTTCATATTTTTTATTTCTGTGGCACAATACTCAAACTGAAATGGTATTGGTTTTATGGTGATTATTACTGGGCTATAATTCAAAGTATTCTTTAATAAAATACATGAACCGCCTCTACGCTGATCCCTTGAATAACATGAGGCAAGTCGATAATCTTTCAATTGCAAATTACTTTCAGTACCCCTTTTTAAAAATGTTTCAGTAAAACAAATTATGTCAACTTCACCTATTTGTTTCAATTTGTAATACATATGACACCTTTGTATTTCAATATAAGGATTAGAGCCCTACAACATATATACAAGCGCAGGCAGGTGCACCATTTCATTATCATCAATTAAAAAACTAACTAAACCTACCATTACTCATAATAGTACCTTTTTCAGTCTTGATGTCACTTGGTTCGTGAAGTAATCCGCGTTGCATTGTATAAGTTCGGCGACAGTCGCATGTCCGCACGCGAACGCTATATCATTAATTGCTATCAGTCCCGCCTGATGTAGTACCTCGTACTTACTGCCTGCAAAATAATGGAAATCTTTACGCCTGTGTTATTCTCATTATTCATGTAGTACAAATAGTTCAGTCTAATTAGATAAGATTATTTTTAATTTATTTATATGCATAACATATATCTTTTTCTTCCATCATAATTTATAATTGCATTCACATATTAAAGAGCTCGAAATTTAATACAGAATAGAAAAGTCTTTTTTCAAATTAACTTTAATATAAGGCACATTTGAATAGTCACATATTTTTTATTCTACCACTCATTCGTAATACATAAAATGAAACCTACCAACTCTTTCTAATATCAGGCATAGAGTCTTGAGCATGTACGGCTGGTATTGATCCATGAGTCGCCTGGCGATGACGCCCACGCCCTCAGTGAGCAAGCAGGAGAGTGCCATGTTGGTTTGTGCAGTTGCCAGTGACAAGCAGCCGCCAGCAGGCCTCCGCTCGCGTCTGCTCTGATAACTTATATCTGTGTAGCGAGTCTCCACTGTGCCTTCGTACAGTCCTGCAGTTACAAAATGATGCATTGAATTTTATTTATTTGTTATAATATTGTTACACTATTCTGTGTCGGCCTCGGTGGTCATGCGATCATCGGGCGGTGTAGCACACCGCCCGATGATCGCATGTTCGATTCCTTGCACGGCAAAAACATTTGTGTTCATGATATGAGTATGATTGTTTGTATCGGTCTGGGTGTTTTCTATAATATGTATATATTTACGAAAAAAAAATTATCTATGTATTTGTATCAGTTATATAGTACCCATAACACAAGTTTTAGCTAGCTTAACTTGGGTCTAGATGGCGCTGTGTGAATTGTCCTGAGATTATTATTATTATATACATATACATAGGTGTAACTGGTTATAAATTAACAGGTAAACCTGTAAATACATCAAACAAAAAAAAATTTTTTTTTCAGAGTCAAAAACACACAAATAGACAGACTTACCAGGCACACTATCCCGGGTCCAAGCTCTAGGGTTGTACACAGTGACGTCTAAGGTTTCATCCTCTGTGATGGGAGTTTCCCCACTACTCACTTCCAATGGTAAGTACCACATATCTTCCTCTAAATACGTGTCCAGTATGCGTTTCACTAACTCTAGGGGTGAGTTTGGTGCTGAAATATACAATGATACTTTTAAAATGTAGTTGGTTTAGTTTGAATTTTTTTCAGGAAAATATAGCATTTTTTTATTCTACTACTTATTCGGAATGCGGACTCATTACAAGAATGAGCACGAGACACGTTGGTCTTTTAAATAAATGTTGTTCTAAGTAAATTTATATCATATAATAAATATAATCATTGTTATGATTAGGCTTGCGATAAACCTCTAAATTAGAATTGTAGTTATCTAGGCACATATAACAAACATTATGTATGTAGTAATATCAAAGCTACTATAGGTTTCACATAATGAACACTATACAAAATGTACTATATATTTTATTGGCTTGCGTTAAAATAAAAACAACCAAATAAGAAAAAGAATGTAACAACTGAATAAAATGAAATGAATAAGAATAATTTAACCTCTCATTTGCGAAGGAGCCAATTATTGGACCCGGACACTAAATCCCCATCTATAATAATAATAATAATCTTTATTTGTCTCAAACAGAAACATTTTACACAATACAACTATTGCCCATAGAATAATATAATTTAAAAACTAATTAATGAGACAAAACGGTCTATAACTCAGTGAGGGCAGTGAGTCCACCCTCTCTGCTATTCTGTCTGCCTTTATCTGTGAGAAGTTCTGTAAGTGTAGGTGATGGTGACAGGACTATGTACTAGGATCCCTGGTCGTATGGTCGGACGGCGAAGTAAAAATGCTCGGTTGTTTGCACTTAGTAGGAAGGCACCTATCGGGTCGCTGTCTCGCCAGTGAATGCGGACCGCTGTTTTTTTTTTTTTTCGGACTACTCTAATGCTGTTGGCCGTAGCTGGCCTTTACAGCTTCACCGGACGTTATGGGGCGAGTGCAGATGGCACTCCAAACCCGCGGAAGGACTTATGGAGCGGCTGAAGGCCAACTCCTGCCCGACGGATACGACTTTAGTCTGAGGGCACCACTAGGGGTTCGAACCTCGGCTCAGGCCGTCGTAATTTCGATCCCCGTTTGAATTGGACGGGGGATCGATCGGAGAGGCGCCCGGGGGCGCCGGTGTGGAGCGCCCGGGCGCGCGCAGGCGCCCGGTTGAATGCGCGATATTGTGTGTTTGAGGTCGTCGTCTTCGCCGGCGAGGACGGTGTCGTGTGTGTGTGTAAAAGTGTGGTCGGGGTGGAACGGGTGGGCCCGTGGGGAGGTTACCTGCCGTTATGGGGTCGTCGGGGTCAATGAGAACGTGCCTCGGGCGACGTTGTCGCGTATGTCGGATATTACTCCTCGGTGCGTAGTCGACCGCACTGACTATAAGCGGATTAGGGTGGGATTGGGCAGAGTCGAAGTAGCGTCGAGACGCTTCCTTCATAAACTGCTTGATGGAGGGCAGATTAAGATCGCGGTGGAGATCTACGCTGCGAACGAACCACGGCGCACCGGTGGCTCGACGCAGAAACCTATTCTGAATGACCTGTAGTCTGTTGATTAAGCAGTAGGGTATGTGGGCGAATACGGGACTAGCGTAGGTCATGATGGGACGGATGCAAGCCTTGTATAATGTCAGCTTGTTGCGAAGCGACATTTTACTGTGCTTGTTAATAAAAGGATAGAACCGCCCTAGTATAAAGGCGGCTCGGTCGCGGACACGCTTGATGTGAGGACGAAACGTTAGTTTCCTATCTAGGGTGACGCCGAGATATTTCGTTTTCGAAACCCACGGGATGTTTTGGCCGAATAGTTCGATCGGGTGATTCATAGAGTCGAATTCCCTGCTAAAGTACACTGCTGCACTTTTTTCGGGATTGACTTCTATGCGCCACCGACGGAACCATTCGCCCAGTATCGTTACGGCTTTCTGAAGCCGTCTGGCTATTGTCGCACGGGACTTGGCGGATGTAAAGAGAGCCGTGTCATCGGCAAACAGCGATATTTCGACTTTTAAGTCGGAGAATTTAGGGATGTCGTTGGTGTACAACGAGTAGAGCATCGGAGAGAGGACGGCGCCCTGAGGGACGCCGGCTCGTATGGGGTGCGGGTCGGATAACGCTCCGTTTATACGGTAGCGATAAGAGCGGTTTGACAGGAAGTCTCGTACAATGAGTACTAGCCTGTCGGGGACACCTAACTGATGAAGCTTGTAAATCAAGCCGTTGTGCCAGACTTTATCGAAAGCCTTAGCCACATCGAAAAATAGGACGCCTGTACCGCCTTTGGGGGACTTGGTGGCGAAGTACAGAGTGTTTTTGTGAATGTGCTCCGTGATGCGGTGCACTTGATGGACGCATGAGTGCTCATTGATGAGCAGGCCTTTGGAGTATATAAACTCCTTTAGGCGGGCGAGGAGGAGTCGCTCGTACAGCTTGCCTATAGCCTTGAGGAGGCTGATAGGACGATAACTGGACGGGTCGGATTTATTTTTACCGGGCTTGGGGATGCCAATGACCACGGCTTCTTTCCAGCTGTCTGGAAATATAGCGTTGGACAGCGCCGCGTTAAAAATAGCGACGAGTAATAACAAAAGTTGGGATGGCAGACTTTTGACTAATCTATTCGATATGCCGTCTGAGCCGGGTGATTTTTTGATAGGTAGTTGTTTAACTAACGTTTTGACCTCATCAAGCGTGACTGGTGAGAGGGATTCGGTGGGCGGGGTGGACGCGATGCGTTCGACTTCGGTGTCTATCTTCTCGAAATGACCTGCCTCGACTGGGAGCGTGCTGGGGGAGCATTGGGCTTCTAAGTTGGACGCTAGACACTCAGCCTTGTCTTCGTCGAAGAAGGCTATAGTGTTGTCGGGTCGGACTAGCGGGGGCATGTCGTTTGTCTGTTGGTCGGTTTTGAGAGATTTCGCTATGCGCCAGTACGCGGTGTGGCATGGCGTTATCTCTTCTAAGGAGCTAGCCCCACCGGCCGTCCCGGATCTGCGCGATGCGCTCCTTAACGCTACGCTGTAAGGCTCGCAGGCGCACCCGGTTCGGTTCGGAGGGGTAGCGATCGTTCTAGTGGCTGCGTTCTTATCGCTTATTAACCTCCTTACGTCATCGGGGAGCTGCCAGCGACGGTCGTCCGTCGCCGGTACCTTGGAGCAGTCCTTGACTGCCGACTGCAGGTGGTTAGTAAGCGAGTCGATCGCAATGAGAGTGTCCTCGGTGGACTCTATGACGTCGGGAATACGGTTGAGTATCGGTGTGTCGGTCGATTCGAGAGATTTCTCGAGTAGTTGCCAGTCTGTTATTGTTTTGGTTGGTAGTGGCGTGTCGGGCGGAGGGCCCAGAAGGAGGGTTACCGGTCGATGGTCCGAGTTAAGCTCGGCATGGACTTCTGGGGAGCTCACCCGTAGGGTTACGTTCCTCAGCAGTGCCATGTCCAGTATGTCGGGTCGGTGGTTCACGTTATGGGGATAATGAGTAGGGCGGAGCGGGGCGATTATCTCGAATTCGAGCGAGTCGGCTAGTCTGTCTAGTTTGTGGCCGTTTGTCGTGGACACGTGGCAGTTCCAGCGGGTGTGTTTACAATTCAAATCGCCAGCCAGAATGGTGGCGCTGTTGATATCTAGGAGGGCGCGTAGGTCGCTTTCCAGCAGTAGTTTGCCGGGAGGCTGATATACGGATGCCACGGCGAGCGGTCGGTGGCCGGTCATGCCGAGAAGACAGACGGAGGCCTCCATATGAGTGAGAGGCGGTGTTTGTAGTGGTATACAATGTAGGGACCGTTTATAGTATATGAGCGTACCGCCGCCTCTACAGGCGGTGCGGTCGTTCCTAACTATGTTGTAATTGGCGATTCTAGGATCGCGGACTGAACGTTTCAGTAGAGTCTCCTGCACGAGGAGAATATCGACTTGGTGGTCAGTGAGAAAGGAGGCTATTTCCTCCTTTTGTTTTTTTAATCCGAACGCGTTGAAAAACGCTATTCGAACGGACCGAGGCTTTTCTCTCTGAGCTCGAGTACCCATAATTACAGGTTAAAATTGAGGATGGCGGTAAGTACGCCGATGTGCTCACAGACGGCTGCGAGCCTATTTTGGGGCGATTCCTTATACAGGCGGAGCTTGGAGGCCAGAAGGGCAATCTCGTTAGGGTCGATGGTGCTGGCTAAGCGAGCGACCAATGCGAAGTCCTGCGCGAGGGAGCTGCCGTTGGCCTTGGGGGCCGCGGGCAGTGTTTTGGGGACGGGTTTGTGTATGGGCATGGGCGGGGCATGGGCGGGGCCGACTGGGCGGGCGGGGCTTTCTGGGCGGGCGGGTTGGGAGCTACCTTGCTTACAATTGCCGGGGGTTTAATCCAGGCATTGTTAGCAGGCAGAGGGGCGGGTACGAGTGGCTCGGGTTGTGTTTGAGCCTTGGCGGGGGCACGTGCCGGAGCACGGTTGCCCTGGGTGTGGGTGGCCTTTTTTTTGGCGGGACGTGGGGCGCGTGAACAACCGCGGTAATTCGCGGTGTGACCCTCTGTGAGGCAGAGGGTGCAACTGGGGGGCGTGGGGGTGTTGGGCCTACGGCCGCAATCTGCGGTGGCGTGATCGCCTAGGCACTTGACGCACCGTGGGCGAGCGAAACAATTACGGGCAGAGTGCCCGTAGTTCTGACAACGGTGGCATTGTCCGGGGTAGGTACGCTTGCGAGGCGCCTCTACGGAGAGTGAGGATAGTTGGCAAACGCTCTTTATATCAAAGATCGATTTGCCTTCTGGGGATAAGTCTAATACAACTAGAACAAGGTCGATAGCGGCCTTGTTGCGTGAGCGCGACTGGTACATACGATGTACCTCGTGCGCTGGGTAATTCTGGGACTGAAGGTCCTCAAGGATGGAGTCTGTTGAGAGCTCCTTGGGTAACCCGCGTATTACAACGCGGAGCTTTTTCTCTTCCTCGAGAGCATAGGTGTGATAACCTATGTTTTTCTCCCGCAGGAAGGTGGTGAGACGACGATGGTCGTCAGATGATGGGACTGATACTTTGATCCCTAGTGAGGTAGCCTTAACATGGCTGAAATTGATATGCTTGTTTTAAGCATATTGGATACGGTGTTCCAGGCACTTTTGTCCTGGATGATGACGGGGGGCGGGGCTTTGGTCTCGGGGTGCGACTTGCGTGCACTTGGACCGGGGGCGGTTTTAGCGGTGCCGTCATGGGCACGCTTTGTTTTGGCTGGCTGGGAGCCCTGGGTCTTCTTGGCACGCTTGTTGCCAACAAGAATAAAGTCGTCCTCGTCTGAGGAGACCGGGGGGATGGGAGAGGGGACGTCGCCGTCGCGGATGGCGTCGAGCTCTATACTAGGAGCGTCAAGCTCCGCGACGGAGTCGTCCTGCTCCATGGCGGGCGAGGCGGGTTCGGCCTGGTCGGCTTGGGTCGGGGGAAGCGGCGGGAGCCGTTGCGAGTCGTCCTCGAATTCGTCTGTCTGACTGTCTGTCGGTGGGGACGCGGGTGGCGAGCTGTGCACTACTAGTGCGGGGGCAGCCTTATAAGCCATAAATGACTCTAGTAAGCCGGGGCACTTCTTTTCGAGGAACTCGAAAAGCAGCGGGATATCGGCCGCGGAAAAGGACATTGTAAGAATTATAAGCAAAAACAAAAACACAAACAAAAAGTAAAAATAAAAAATAAAATATATTAAGAGGACGGTCGTCGGCGGGTGCAGCCGACGGTGTCAGCGGGGGCCTCCCTGCCGGGTGAGGCAGGGGGGTGAGTGCCTATAAGTATGTGACCCTAATATGTAAGATCACTAATCTTATTAGAGTGAAAAATGTGTACCTAAGCGAACCTACTTGGTGGCGTCGGCGGCGGGCGGCAGGCAGCAGGCGTCGGCGGGTGTTGGTGGCAGCGGCGGCGGCTCGGATCGGCGCGTCGCGCAATAGGCGTGACGCACCTCCCTAACTCACGACAGTCCGTGCCACTGAGCGTCCACACACAACACTTCACTTCACTTGAACGAAAGAGTTCCTCCTTCAGTCCTCACAACACAACACTACACACGCGGAAAGTCCTGTAGTACCGTGTCGGAACGGATGCCGAGAGCGCGGACGGCCGCGGTCGGCGCGGGACACGGAGGCCCCGGGCCACGCTAGGTGCACCGAGTGCACCTAAAACGCGGCGAAGTAGAATGAACGCGCGAACGTAACTGCGCTACGTGCGCGCGCGCGGTGGGTTGCTCGAGGGAGCAGAGAACAGCGAGACGGCGGCGGGACTAGCGAGCACATACGCGCGTTCGCTAGCGCGTCGGTCAGCGGAATATGCGGACCGCGGCGCGGCCGCGCTCTTTATATAGACGCCCGACGGGTGGCCTTCCCTACTGCAACTGTACGTTGCGCTTGATTTATTATTATTAACAAAAATGATCTTACTTATATACAAATTTTGCTTATACTAATTATTTATATCTAGGGGAATAAAAGACACTATATTATATATTTTATTGATGATGACTTATTATACTAATTACTTTCTAATTGATTCCGTCGTGTACAGTAGGTCTTCATCGAGACCTCCCCATCTAGATGGGGCGTTAATGTAATTTTATCAGCTAACGGTTGAAAGATGAATGAAATTAGTCACCGGCAGCCATCCAGTTGATGAGGCAGGCGAGGTCTGGCGTCCTACAGCACTGCAGCTGTAGCAGCAGGTGGTCCAGCACCAGCGGCACGGCGGCCGCCCCGCACGCGGCCCGCAGCCGCGCCGCGCCCGCGCCGCCCAGCCGCAGCCGCCGCCACCACCGCGGGCCTCCGCTGCCCGACCACCCCACCTCTGCACGCGCATACCCATAATCTTATATATTAAATTCTCGTGTCACAGTTTTCGTTCCCATACTCCTCCGAAACGGCTCAACCGATTCTCATGAAATTTTGTGAGCGTATTGAGTAGGTCTGAGAATCGGCCGACATCTATTTTTCATCCCCCTAAATGTTAGAGTTAGTCCACCCCTATTTTTTTTTTATTTTAAGGCATAACGACGTTTACCGGGACAGCTAGTAATGTATGTAAACATATGGACATATTACACAGCGTCATCAAATCCCGAGTCAAGTAGAGCTTCTGCTTAACAAAGATTTGCAGATTTTGCCAAAATTGTCGCTGTAACTAACTCATGTATAAACAAAATATATCGTTTAGGGGAAAGGGGATTGTTAGTACTGTGAATTGATGAATTAGCGATGCATCTTATATATTATTGTAAAGTTTCATCAAAATCCGTTTACTTAGCAGTTTTTATGTGAAAGAATAAAAAACATCCATCTATTAATAAGATAAGATTTAAAGTCGAAGCGTATAAGAAGAGTGAATAGAGTTTCCATATACTTATACAATTATATTACTGTTAAATTTAATATAGTATTGCCAATACGAAAGTAGAATAGTCAATCATAGGATGAATACCTGTAGAGGTGCGATGGTTCAGCAGTGTAACATCTGTGTGTAAAGCTGCAGCGGCCTGCAGCGCTGCACACAATTGCTGCAGGCCGCTGCAGCCGCTGAGAGCGCGGCCGAGCCGCTGGTGAGCGTCCGGGCCTGACGACAGCGCCTCCAAATATCCATGAAGCAAATTCAGCGCTGCCAGCTTTCTACTTTCGTCTATTTAAAATTATTATTGAATATATAAAATCTCATATTACAATGTTGAAGTTATATTTACTTGTAGTGAAAATGTATTATTGGATGTTTCATTGTGTTACGTTTTGTTTAGATGACCGTCAATTACAGAGTCAGCTCCTGACCACTTTTATTTGCCATAAAATTATTTGTGTTAAGACCCAGTTAACAATATAAATATAATTAAAAATACAATAAAAAAACATATCAAATCAAATAATCGTCAAAATCACGCTTAAAGCGATTAAAAGACATCCTGTTAGATGTTGTCAAAATCAATAAAGAAAGAACATATATTTATTCGATACACATAAAAAAATATTATAAATCTCTTACCTATATTATTGAGTATACTGGGCAAACTATGTAACGTTGCGAAGAAATTTTCGCATAGTCCATCCATTATTCTCATCTTGGAATCTTCAGATCCTGCGTTGAGGTATGTGTTAACTGCTTTCGAACAATACTCCGAAACTGCTTGATACTCGTCTTTCGTCAGGGACATCAAAATATCTAGTACTACAGGAACAGATGCCTGCATAGTACTGGAATTAAATTTTTATTGTTACGTGAATGGCAACTACGCTTCATCTAATAGTAAATTTTAAGAACTCTGTTAAATCTCACTATCTTTCCAAATAAACTTATACTGTCTTCCTTCATCCCTTTTAGCTTGTTCCAAACTACGTGTTACATAATTTGTATTTAATAATTTTAATACTGTATTTCTATAAAAGTAGCGCACCTTCCGGCTCCATATCTAAGCATTACAAATCTTTGAATTTCTCGGTTTGTTCTATACAATAACAAGCATATATTACAGATATAAACCGTCCTCTTTTATCACTCTACCTATTGATGAAACTGCATCCGTTGTGTAATTTAAAAGACATAAGCGAACGAAGCGAATATGTATGTATTTATATAAATCAAAATATCTTTATTCATGTAGGTCTATTACGGACTCTTACGATATGTTAAATATATATAAAATGAATAGTATATATATGTAAGTAATATGTATTCATTATTATTATTTATATTTAATATTACTATGTTTTTTTTTCACCAGTCCATTACCTTTACTTCCAATAAATCTTAAAAATAATATTACTTTTTCACGAAAATACTACTGAACTGATTTTGATGAAACTTTACAGTAATATAGCCTAATCAGAATAACATATAGGCTATATTTTTATTGAAATTAAACGCGGCTGAAACAGAGGGCACAGCTAATGTTTTATAAAACTTACCGACTGCATTCATTGAGGATTCTTGAGCAATACACGGCCAACTCTTTCCGGACTTTAAAATGTTCGTGTGTTTGCAGTGGCACTAAACTTTTTGTGACGACGGCCAACTTATCACCAGCCATGGCGTACCATTCTGGTGATCGTTTAACTACCTTTGATTTATCTGTAAAAAGTCTTTGTATTATGCAATTTTACATTTTCGGTACTTGATAGGTTCTTTTTTCGTACTATTGTAATGCTGTTGGCCGCAGCTGGTCTTTTCAACTCAATCGATCGCACTCAAAATCAGAGGAATGAAGAATTACTAATGTTTAATGGATATGAGTTTAGTACGAGAGTATCGCTAGGGGTTCAAGCCTCGAGTCAGGATGTCGTAATAACCTGAAGAATGGGACAAGGGGTCGATCGGAGGGGATATTGATAGGGCCGAATCATGTCATGTCGCGTTGTAGTTGTCGATACGGCACAGAGTCAATAATGAATGAAATCACACGAAAGACAAAGACCAAAGTATGACCAAAAGGCGTCACATTTTAAAACTACATTACAAACTAACTTTGACAATGCTGTTTTTAATACATAGAACAATTGTTAAATTGACGTCTCAGTATATTAAACTCTGCCAAGTTTCACGATAGCCACATTTGTGACATGACTTGGGGAAAAGAGGGGAGGAAGGGAGAGTTACGTTGCGCTATATGGCTAAGTGGAAAGCGGAACTTAATGACTGTGTATTAAGAAAAAATAAAATTGTGTAATATTGATTGCATTTCGTAGCGTAATCTAGTGTATATTATATTTTAGTAGACTACATACAGTACTTTTACTTTATATATCGTTTACGTAAAGTCTCAGAATGGCCAAAAAGTCAGCAGTATGTTATATACATATATAAATATAATTATACGAGTAAAAGCTGCATATAATGTGGTTATAATATTGGTCTGCGTAAAAATTCAAAAGTTCTAAAATTACTAATTACCCTTATTGCTTACTTCTTTGTTATCACTGTCTGTTAATTTGGTTTTCTCTTCCACCATTTTGGCAATGTCCTGCACAGTGACTTCTGGTTTTTTTGCGAAATATTTGTCTTGCATTGTGATGCACAGGATGCGGTGAACAGCGTCTAACGATGCCTACAAGTATCATAAATTTATAGTATAATTAGCAGACCCGGCCATGAATTGCTGTGGCTAAGGTTCTTGAATAAAATAATATTGCGACTATAAATTGAGATGTAAGCTATCCTATCTTTCAAGTTAAATCAAATTGCACACAATGTGCAAATCAAATTTGCAATCAGTTCAGTAGTTTAGGAGTCCACAAACAACGTGACATGTAATTTTTGTATATAAAGATTACAGGGTATAAAGGCATAAGGATGACTACTGGCCTGCTCTATTGTAAGAGACTGACGTCGACGTTTTTCAAGAAGGGTTTATTAAGGTTTCTTAAGAGTCGGTAACACACGGGATTCACCTAGTGATTAGGCGTCTATAGACTACGACTTACAACCGTAAACGATGACAGAAGCACAGGTATCAGACAAACTGTTACATATAAAATATTAAATATATTTCCTTTTTTAAATTTTAAAATAGTATACAAATTACCACAATGACAGCATGTCCTGGATTGTTGATAGACGTAGCGACATCCTGCAGTGCTGCCAACACACCAGGCAAGATGCTCGCGAGCATATCAACTACCGCATTCTCCAGAACAGGATCGTACAGATGGTACTTGCTATTCATAAAGTGTGGATGTGTGACCGTGTGTGCAGTTACACAATTGATTGCTGACAATCTGCAAACAAAAGTGTATGTTATACTTTTTTGTACCCTGTCTTCATTATTTCATATAATATCAGAACAATTCACACAGCGCCATCTAAACCCAATTTAAGCTAGCTAAAGCTTGTGTTGTGGGTACTAGACAACTGACTGATATAAATACATAGATACATTTTTTTTGTAAATACATACATAATATACTTTGACAACACCCAGACTGATAAAACAATCCTACTCATGAATACAAATGTTTTCTCAGTGTGAATAACCTAGCCCACAACCATCTGAACTAAATTGGAGTGTTAGACCACTGAGGCTGTCAACTACATTTGTGTCCGAAGGCAGTTTGTGTCAGAAGGCAAAGAACTCTCCTTTACAATTTCGTAATAATAATAACTCTGGATTCACATAATCCCAAATTATGGAGGCTATTTACTGTTCTGGGTGTTTATAAATATTCATAGTATTTTATGTATGACTAGCTACTCGCCCCTGCTTCGCATGGGTGTACATGTATTATATATGTATAAACATTCCTCTAGAGTCACTCTATATATTAAAAAAACTGCTTCAAAATCTGTTATGTAGTTTTAAAGATTTAAGCATACATAGGAACGGACAGACAGTGATAGTAACTATGTAATAATAATGATGTGACACCTGTGATACCATAATGCAATGTTATTCCAGAGGATAAGAATGTTATGGGTCTTATCCAATAATTTCACAACCTTATTGCACCTACAACCTCAGGAATAGCTTAAAAAGCAAACTGATTGGTGGCTGAACTAGTTTAGACTGAGGTTACCCACACCTATGACTTTTTACAGTTTACCTTTGGTATTGCATGCCACAAACTTTAGGATCTACACATGCTTTATTTCTATATTTACAAATCTGGTACTTACCTAAGTGCTCTTAGTTTTTCGAACTTAGCTATATGTACAGATACAAATATAACCTGTGCTAGGAGCGGCATTTGAGTTTTGACCAACTTCTCTCTAAACCTCTTGTCAAGATTCAACATCAGAACAGTTAATGCTCTCATTACACTGTGTTTCAGCTCTTCTGGTACATTAGCAACTGAAATTATTAAAATAAATAAGTATGGTTTTTAAAGGTTTTATTAATAACTAAAGAAGGAGTTGCATGTTACTAATTATGAGAGATGGATGTGTAGCATGAACTTCGCATATACAGGCCTTTCATTCTCACACCCTGGAACCTAAATGGGAACATAGTGTGGTTTAAATTGAATTCCCACTTGTGAACATTAAAGTTATGGAATGAAATACCAGTTGAGGTATTTTCTAGAATATAACAGGTTAAGACAACAGCCCAGATGAGAGGCTAAATGTGGAGAATAGAGTCCATATTACATTACATTACAACAAGATGGGACACACCCAGGTGTTTCATGCAAACAAGTATATGGCCCATCTGATGGTAAATGGTTAACATAGCCTACAGACACTTCAGACACCAGGGGTATCACAAGATGCATCCATAAACTAAGATGTCTGTTTACCATCAGATGGGCTATTGGTCTATTTGTCACCATTGCAGTATAAAAAAATTGTAAAGTGTTTAACTTTCTGTAGATAGTGTTGCAATGTATTATGCTGGATATTTATTTATTTATTTCAAGCTACTAATGGATATATATATGCTGTTAAGGTATCAATTAAAGTCTATTTTAAATTATAACAGTAATACTTACTCATTCCAGGTTTAGTGTTGTCAAATATTAATTGAAGTAATGCAGTTTCAATCTTCAAGCACATTCCAAAATTGTTCACTGTGACTTTTTCCAAGACTACTCTCATTGCATCAATCAGCAGTGATTGTAGATCATACTTATTTCTATAAACAAAAGTTGTCATATAACAAATTTGGAGTATTTATAGCTGTGTCTACACATTACCTGAGCCTCTCAAGATTGGCAATTTTTTAACAAACTTTATATCAAATTCTGTAGAATAAAATATTTCAACTATGATTCCTTGATCATCAGGCTATCTTTAATAAGCTTATGATTTACATCTTCATTAATTTTGAACAAAGAATGTAATTAAATATTAAAATTAACATACAAATTTATATTGGTTCCATAATATTGATGTATAATTATGAAATTGAGTCTACCTTCCTAGGAAGACAAAAAAATAAAAATTCTATTAAGTCAGTAATTTTATATTGGGGGCAGGGGGGACTTTTAGTAATGTCATCATGTTGTATTCCCCTTTAAATTTACCACAATGGGCTAACTGATCTGACCACATACTCATCTTATCATCCTCCACTGCCAGCATATATCACTAGTGTAGGGAGTACCATTCCATTATCATTCATTAAAAAAATATTTATATATTTATATCACAAGATTCTTACTCCATTTCTGTTGATTTGATGTGAGTAATAAATGGAAACAAGAGATACTGCTGCAGTTCTTGTATGACTTCTTTCTTCAGGTCTGATACTTTTGCAGTGAAGGTTGTTATGCTATCAGACGTAGGGCACACCATTACAATATCACAAACAGGTTTAATCCGGGAAAACGCAGATTGCAATTCGGCATTCATTTTGATATGTAACTAAAATGCTATAATAACGAAATAACTACTTGAAAAGATTGCAAACTACTAATACCATACTGAATTATATATAGCTAATATGAAACTCATGTGGTAAAAGCTGCATAAGCATTTATTGAATATTTAAAAAAACATGACGTCGCTTTTCTTTGCAAATTGTCTTTATATCGCAGAATTTGCAAATTATGCACTCCACAGAACACTATATAATTCAGACACAATGCATCTATTGTTTCAGATTCAGATCAAAAGAACGAAATGAATAATTTAAATAAATTTATTAAAAAAATATTATTAAATGTAAGTTGTATAATTTAAAATTGTATTGGTATTTGGTAATCAGAGTAATCACAGATTAAGAAACTTAACGTTTCATTGCGAATTACAAATAATTGCTGATACTCTATGATTTTAAATGTCAAGTTTAAAAAATGGATTCTCTTTAAGAAATTAAAATTATCTATTTATTATCCTGTAGTTAAGTTTGTGTTCAAAATTATTATACATAATACAGGATATGTATTAAATATAGTAGATTTAAGTTCAATTGCAAATATATTGTTCGATTCAAACCACAATTTTTAACTACTTGAACGCATGTGTACTATTTAAAAAAGGAACTGTCAATTTGTTAATCAAAGTCAGATGTTTGATATTTTGAATTGTCAATATTTTACCAGAATGGTGCAAGAGAATGATAAAATTAATTAGATTATAAAATTGTAGATAACATGTTTTTATAATTCGTTAATAGTTTAAAATACCCATAATGTTCTCCTTGGGAGGGCAGCGTGTCTTACATAAGTGCCTCAAGATTTTGAGGTTAACTGTTCTTGATTTCAGCAACCTACCTGATATAAAGAATCTGAACGTAGTCAGGACTGTGGAGAAAACAATAGACAACAATACGAGTATATTCGTTGAGAGCCCCATACACGTAAAAGTTCAGCCCATCGACGTTAACGATTTAAAAGCACATAACAAATTGATTATGACACTCTACAGTCAGGGCAAAGATACGAGCGATTTCCAAGTGAAACAGACCTCTAAGCGTTTGGAACTGCTTAATAAGAATACTTCTCCAGATAGGAACGATGTCTGCTTAATACAAGTGCCATATCACCTGAAAGTGCAGGTGACAACTACAGATAAAGCATCTGTGCATTTATCAAAGTTGGAAGGTGAAGAATTTGTAGTCAAAACGGATAAAGGTATTGTTAAAGTTACTGACCTGAAGGCTCAGAATATTAAAGTCGAGAGTTCCGAAGGTGAGGTACATACAGAAGGAAGATTGCAAGCGAGCAATATAGAATTGAAGACGGGTTTAAATTCTGGAATACACTGTCACAATATCATGGCGAACACATTTGTAGTAACAACACATGCAGGACCAATAGGTGTCAAGTCATGTTACAGTGATAAGTCACATTTCACAACCCTAATGGGCAACATACGACTTGACCATCTACACAGGTCTGTAATGATTGATGTAATACAACAGGGAAACTTGTATATAACAGCGTTCTCTGGCAGTGTACAGGCTTCACTGAAGAGTGGTGAAGTTTTTATGCATGCTTCACAATTGACTGACAAAAGCAGTATATTTATTCATGAAAAAGGCAAAGTAGAGATGCTTGTTCACGACATATTGAAAAACTTGCCTGCAACAAATTTGATTGCGGATAAAATAAAAGTGGATGAGAAAATTATGAAGCTCGGTCGGTTCATGGATGATTCACATCCGCAACGGTTTAGGTTCGAAGGGGAGCCCCACAATGAGTTGCATATAGTCTGTAAGAATGGCTCAATTGAGTTGAAGGAGACAAACTTACCATTTCTCATTTAAGTTGTGAAATTGTATCTCTAATATTAGATATTATTTTTCCTTTATATTATTTGTATATGATGCTGAATAACATGGTTATTATTATTTTATATATGCAATTAAATATATTTCGCTAATATTGATTTTGAACTTTATTAAAAAAAGAATGCAATATTGTTTGTCAAGTACTTAATTTTATTTCACAGAAATAAATTATGATTACTTAAAAAATAACTGACGATTTTATACAAGGTACCACTTCTAAATTACATCACACTTTGGAGGGAGTGACAAAGTGCGACATACAACAAGGGGTTGGGGACATCATAAATATTGTGTAAAAAACTATGATAATCATAATAATGGTTATATCATAACATTTCAATTATAGTGCTAAAAAACATGAAATGTTAATTATTAAAATATGACAAGCTGTATAAGGTAAGCGGTGGGAGGGGAATAAAAATGACTGAAATTGGTGTGATGTAACTTAAGGATGAGCCCCAATTAGAAGTCACAAATACAACAATCTGTTTCAAAATGTTAATACAGTACAATACTAGGTAACTTTGTAAATTGTTAACTATAATCTAGTTATATATAAGAGTAGTCATGATGAAATTTATTGTTATATTATATATCTAAATTGTATATTTTTGATTTATATAAATACTGTATTATTATTGTTATATAAATACTGCATGATTATTCAAGTAACAAATAACTTTCTCATGTTGTTATATTCTATTGTAGGTACTATCTTTTTAAATTATTGTATAATTGTCATTTAGAAGTGATAATTATCAATTGTGTATTTATAAATGCATTTATATATTATTGGGGATCTGTCAATTAAATTGTATCAATTTATTTTTGGTTCCGAACAATACTGTGTTTATTATATTTGATCAGGTTTCTTAAAAGAACATCCTCTTCTAGTTCTTATATCCACCGATTTTTCTTAAAGTGCAGGTATACAGTAACATTTTAAAACAATCATTATGATGTATATTTTAAAAGTTATTTTAATAGTTCCTATGTTTCATAACTTGCTTTTGTGATATGTTTCCATACTGCTAGTCCTAGATGAATCTATGTAATTACAATACACATTTTAAGATATTATACAAAAGTATTGTTATTATTTAGATATATGGTAGAAATTATTAATAAATATTGTTGATTTTATTGCTATTGTTTTTAAATCCGACATTTATTTATTATTAACAGCCGCGCTAGTCTAGTGGCAAGCACACGCGTTACTTCTGATGGTCGCGGGGTCGATTCCTCGCATTTGTATTCATTAGTAATATTGTTTGTATTGGACTGAGTGTTTTACGTACATATATAATGATACATTAAAAAAGTATCCTATAATATAAGCTTTACTGAACTTAGGACTAGATGGCGCTGTTTTATTCTCCTGAATGATTATTACTATATAATCACATTACATCGGCGTGGTCTCCTTTCATAAATAATTTCTAATATATACTTGCTATTAATATTAATGAAATATATTCTGAACTATAAAAAATAACAAAACGAGATCACTATCTATTCAGATATATTCAATTTCATTCAATTATAGGTTCAGAATAGGCAAAACATGCCACTTTAACTACACACTTATTTGTTTTTTATGTGAGTACCTATTCCTGTAAACACCGTTAACAAGTTAGTACGCTTTGCGCTAAAAGAGATAAATAATATTTAATTATTTATAAATAATTAATACATTTCGAATTATGTTCTATAATTCTTCAATAAGAATACGCTTGTTATTAACAAAAACAGATTGAACTGATAACAGATACAAAACACAAATCATTCAGAAAAAAGCGCTTGATTTGGTTGTCATTGGCTGGTAACCATAAGCTAAAAATTTTGTTAGTAAGTTTTTATATAGCATAGAGACAAACGAGCTTTCGTTTCACCTCATGTTAATTACTTTCGCCCATGCCTGCACTTGCAACGTTAGAGAAATTAAGGGTATGATGCTGATGTCTTAGAAAATGATGTGTTCTTTCTTGAAGGTTTAATATCGTACTGTAGTTATTGTTTAATAGTAGGTACTTTTGAATTTCCATTATTATTTGTTTGTTTACTTACTTATTTTTTTAATCCAAGCGACTGTTAATTGGGTGCAAAGATGAGTGGATAGCGTGGGCTCGGCGCCGGCGGCGCGCAGATAACGAGCCAGTTTATATGCGGTACGACAGTGCGCGCGCGTCAGTTGCTACACGATGCCGGCCTGTGCGCCTGAATACAGTCGCCTCGCGCGATCCAACACTGAACTAGTGTTCTCTCCTCGAGTCAAACGCTGCTCGCACCAGCCGCCACCCTTCACAGCACTGCGGCGTTCCTTCTCGTCCACCTTCTCTCTCATACCCGAAGAACGAGCTATTTCACCGGAGCGACCACCGCCACTACCCCGCATCGTACGGATCATCACCTGGGGACCCAGATTATTCCTGAGACCAATATTTGCATTGCTCGGTTTGATATCACACCCAGCATGGAAACAAATCCTGGTAGTTCTACCCACATTATGGATTGCCGCGTCGTTATTCATATTCTGGAAGTGTGTTCAGGCTCCGATTGGGTTACTGAAGATGATAGGACGCGCAATCAGCTCTAACCAAGCTCATAAGCCTCGAACTGTGCTCATCAGTGGAGGAAGTACTGTTCAAGCATTGCATCTAGCCAGAAACTTTCATTCTGCCGGTGCCAGAGTTGTTGCCTTTGAAATAGAGGGACAATTCTCGTTACTGAAGTATTCCGCAGCAGTTAACAAATTCTACACAGTTCCGAGGCCTAATCCTGCTGATCCACTCGCGTATGCACACGCTTTGAAAGAAATCGCTGAAAGAGAAGGGGTAGTGTTCTATGTTCCGGTCAGTTCGACAACCCCCGCCTACTACGATGCTCTTGCGAAACCGCATTTGGAAGTAATCGGATGTCAATGCTTTATACCATGTGCTCGTGATGTAGTTACCTTAGATGATCCTTTAGAACTAATGCGAGTGTGTCGCGCCGCTGGTCTGCCGACACCACAATTCTGGGTTGTGGTTTGTGATGAAGATGTCCGAGCATGGTATGACAGTGGAGCATCGAAAGAAGGTCGTCACTACATAGCTAGCGCCGGTGCTCGTGGTGCAAGAGATCGCTTGCGATTTGTTATGCCAGAGGATAAGTCAGAGTTTAGATTCCCTCGTGAAATAAGTCTCGAAAAGCCATGGGTAATTTTGAGAGAACCAAAAGGAGAAAGATTTATAACGTGTACAACGTTGAAAGAGTCACGAGCTGTTAATAATGTAACATGCCGCGTAGACACAAGCAGGAAAGGATTAGTGCCACAGAAAGATGAAGAAGCAGACGCTTGGGTTCAGCGATTTGTTTCAAATCTTGCACCGGCAAGATCGATGACGGGGCACGTGTCTTTTAGACTTGTTCGTGAAGAAAATGGATCTAATGGACACAGCAATAGACTGGTAGCTATTGGAGCACGGGTGACTGTCTCATTACCATATTTGTGCCAAGGGCCGACCCGCTGCGGACACACAGCTACTGTGGGTAAACTCCTGGACACAGTACTAGATAGACGTGAAGCTCTCTTTGCTTTCTGGGACCCGTTGCCCTATTGTGCATATTATCAATCTAGACTGCCAGAACAAAGGAGGTTACCTCCTGAGCCCTGCAAAACCCCACCAAATGTGCCGCTGTGAAAATTCGATTAATCTGCAGCTTAGGAATTATTTATTAAGACACTCAGTACCTGAAGAGTGCGTGAGTGGGAGAGATTCTCCTCTGTGAGTGATAATCGCGTTTATTAATCGCGTTAATTGTCCCCCTGTTTTGGGAGAAGAGCTTTGTACGGTTCGGTCGGGGACGGTATGAATTGATTGTAACTACTAAGTAGATATTATATACTCTAAATGCCTACCAAATATATTGTAGACTTAATTCTAATTCTCAGTTAGTAATAAAAAGAAATAAGAATTATATTTTATTTTTATTTTCATTACTATAATCATATATATCTAGAATAATACATACATGTGATACAAATTGATTTGCTAATTCCTAAATTTCTATACAAATACGTACCTAATGTATAATTACATTGTAATGTATTTATTCATAGCGATGCATAATAAAATGAATGGATGATATTGATATCGAAAAATAGCTCATGTCAAAAGGTTATAGTCCATTATAGTGATAAAATAATAGTTACAAGTAAGTTCTAACATTTCCTATAGACACAATTTATTGAACATATGATATCCAGGAAATCCTAGAAAGATAGGTCCTATTTCTAAACAGAGTTAGATATTAATAACTTAATATTTTTTATGCTAGATACTAAAGAAAACAATATCCATATAATGTATTTATTGCTTTAAATTAGTACAGAGATAATACACGAAAACAATCCATATTTAACACTTTTATTTAGCAAATAATAAATAATACATACATACACAATCACACAAAAAAATCCATATTGAATGCAAAAACAATATCTAAATCTAAATATTGTTTTATTGTTTTCCTTGTCTTCAAAATTGGCAAAAGTAAGAGTACCTAGGCATCCATTAATATAGGTGTCTCCCTATATTAATAGATGCATACTTATAATGTGTACAATGATCACACATAAGGAAAACTATTATACTATGTCATTGCTCAATTCCATAAGATATTTAATTTCCTCATGCCTTTACATGTCCAGCGATCTAAGACTTACTAAAATAGAGTTTGTTGGGTCGTAATGCAAAATATTGAAGGAAAATAAAGTATTTTCCTTAATTGACGTTTCATCTAAGCTACAGTACTACAGTTTGACTAATGATAGGTGTCTATAATAGACTTACATACATAGTCGGTACATAGAAAAAAACTCATACACAAATTAACGGTGGCGAAATATATACGAAAATAGCTCTCATGTTATTGTTTCTTTTAAATTAAAAAACGAGCAAAATAGCAAGATTGGAGTAGTGAAAATAAAATATAGAAATGTATCCAATACCTTTATGGTTCTTTGTAAGTAATTTATTGAAACATTCGATAAATCGATGCATAATAAATATAAATATGCAAAAATACATAAATGTAAAAGGTCACTTAAGACAGTCAGTATGTCTGAGAAATTTACATACATACAATCCAAAAACTGACCATATTTATAGCACAGAATAAAGAATTTTTCTTATAATTGAAGCAAGTTGTAGTAAACTTGTCTTGCTTTATGCAAAATGCTTTTACCGAGCCGTAGCTTATTTGTGACTAGAGCCAGATAAATTTACTCTAGTGCGGAAACCTGACCAACGCTACTGGAAGCGTTACGACGTGAGTTTACATCACAGATAACATAATGTCTACATTCACATACAACACGTGTATCGCATTTTAAAGAGGCATCATCAGGCAAAGAGATCTCGGATATAGCTTGAAAAACTTGTGTTGACTCGGTTCGGCCACTAAACTGAGAGTTGGAGTCAACACTACATATTTGTGGTTAAAAGGTAGCGAAATTAAAGGAGACAAGTTGTCGCACATTGGTTAATATTCGACCATAATTAACTTAATATTCAGTAAGACGTTAGACAAATAATATAAATGACAAACAATATGAATGTATTCTAAATTTGACCTCAGACTAGAATAATAAAGAATATATAGGTATATAACGATGGTGTGTGTAATGTTTTTTATTGATTAATTACATATTTAATGAATAATTTTGATAAACATTAGTATACTCCATTTCTTCTCTATATAGACAAAACTATAAGTGTACGGAATTTTATACTAGGTACGACTCCTCTGTCCGCGCGATTTTTGTAAAAAGGCGTACAAAGTACATTGAAATACATTGTATGACGACGACGTACGGACGGTAGAAAGTCCATCTTTAATCTCAAGAAAAGTAGACGAAATCGCGATTTAAATTTAGTCTTGTATAGAATCAAAGCTGTAGAAGTGTCGGTGTTTGCGTCTGTTTGTCCAGTGCGATAACTGAAACATATTGTAACTGTGCTGCACTTGAAGTGATAGCCGTTATCGTCGTCCGGGTCAATCGACGCGGCCGGTCAAAGATCGCACCTTTCTCGAGTCCGTAGCTCATGGAAAAATAATCGCATCCCGCTTAATATGTGCAATATATATAATAATACGTCTGGACAATTCACAGCGCCATCATACCTTACATCACAGATAACGTAATATTACATACTTATATTCTATAATTTAATTGTCCCTTCTGTAGTGTCCGGGCCGTCCGACACTTGTGAATAAAATACAATTTCAAAATCCTTAAAAAAACACACACCATTTTAATTGTTTTACATAACCAAAATTTACTTGTTCTACCATAAACCAAAACACAGCTTACAAAACAAGTTTGGCAGTTGATGTAGATAATACCCAATACAAGCTTTTGGGGGAAGGGGATTGTTAATAATGAGGACTGTTGACCCCATTGCTAGCAATGTACCATGTAAGGTTGACCTCCACGCGGTTCCCCCTAGAAACCATCGTGATAAATTCCTGATTAATTTGTCACGATGGGCTAACTGACCTGACCTCATGCTCAACTTATCATCCTTCACTGATGCCCCGCCAGCGTAAACCGTTAGCGAAGGCGGGTGCACCATTCCATTATCATGCCTAAAAAAAAAAGGTCCAAGCTAAGTAGGGTTTGTGTTATGGGCACTAAACAAGGATAGCCAATAGCTACTCAGTATCTAAAGGAATGATTTCTATTTTTGAAGTTCAACACATTGCCGTAACTTTCGTTCTGCTACTAATCACCTGCTGTATCCAGTATCCTCTCATCGTTCTAATTTAAATTAATCTCATCTCAGTCTATATATACTTTAGTATTATATATAATATTTTTACAGAAAAGATAACGAACCGTACAAAATAGTGAATAGTTGTAATTGGTTCTTAATATTACCATTTAGAACATACCGTACAAAATAATTACAACTGTTGTTTACAACTTTCAACACAATCGATTGGTTGAAACGTCTTTTTAATTACTTATTATGGAATATAAATAATTAAAAAGACGTTTCAACCAATCGATTGTGCTGAAAATTGCTATTACATATGCAAATGAGTTGGAAATATTACGGAGACAATAAGCAGATCTGATGTTAAATGATTAGTTGTTATCTCATGTCGGTAATTAGCTACATAAAACCATGATTCATTGGATTGTCTAGGTAATTACATGCGTGATTGATATTAATTAGGCCCTGATTATTGATTCACAGAGTAAATAATATAATATCTATTGAAATACATAATATCTATATTTATGTGTTAAATCAGAGATATTGATAAATAACTAATATTATATAGAGGTAAAGTATGTGAGGTTGTAGGCAGTAATCTAGAATCTTCTAGAACGATTTTGTCAATTCTGTTAATATACATAACCCATTCAGCGTGAATTATTATAATTTACACACGACAATTAACACAGCGCTATCTAATCCCACGGTGAGCAGAGCTTGTGTTATGGACAACTGATATAAATACTTAGATATATTTTTTCTAAATACATATATAATATACATAGTAAATACCCAGACCAATACAATATAAATATAACAACAATATATACTGGCCACTTTGACTACAAATTGTTAGAGCGTATAGAGTGGAGTCCCTGTATTCTATTGTCCAACCACGTACCGAGAAGTGCAGAAGATTCATGGTATCTCAATATTTATATTGATGGAGATATTCCGTGGTTAGATAATTTGTTCTTGATTTCATCACAGTAATACGTAAGATATCACTGTTACTTAGCAATTAGAACACTATTTTTTAATGTGACAGATTATATTCCACAAACTTTTTATTCCACAAACAATATGCCTAATAACATTTCATAATCCATTACATTTTAATACATTTTACATTTCAATAATATACATAATATAAAATTATACAGTGAAGAGTAAATAATAATAGCAAAAAATAATTCTAAAATTAAATCTGTTAAAACACTAATTACTAACTATAATTTGACCTATCGAGCCGTAATAGAGATATTGTGTTTATACAGCATAAATACAATTATTCTTGATTTCACGTAACACATAACTGTTAGGTACTTAGCAACAAGAACACTACTTTTAAATGTGATGGATACACTTTTATTCCACAATCAAAGTGCCTAATATATATACTATACATATAAAATGTAGTAAGCTCCTATGTAGATGAAGGCAAACATACCTAAATATACACGTGACATTAAAGCAGATAAGGTCTAATCACGTTTGTGTAATACTACAATTTAGTGGACATCACGTGTTCTAGATATCAAAACACAAGGCGTAATAAAAAATTTGAGAAACCATCTCTAATTTAAGTACGCGCTCGGAGTTTTTACATTACATAGATATTTACTATATCTAAATATATATTTTTAGGTCATTAATAGAAACTGCATGATATTATTGTATATTTCATTCATATCTGAATGATATCTAATATGTTTTTATTACTCAATTAAAAATAACTTTACACTTAACTGAGTAATAAAATGTATTTTTTATTAGGTGTAGTTCTTTGAATCATTTACGAGTATTTGATATAATGGTTGTTAAAATAAGAAAACTAAATAAGAGGATATGGTAGAGGTGGACAACCCTCATCACTTAGAGGTATGAAAAATAGATAGTAGTCGATTCCCAGACCTACTAAATATGCATATAAAATTTCATAAAAATCGGTGAGGCCGTTTCGGAAGATTGGTACGCATTGCGACACGAGAATTTTATATATAAGATTAATAGATAATTTTAATATAAAAAGTACGAAACATGCTAATCATTGATAAATTATTTTCGCTTAGTACCTACCTATGTTATAATATCATTAAAAATAGTGAATTGAATAAGTATTTGAAATTGCTAAATTTAAGTTACTGGCCGGATTAAGGGCAAGCGAAAGGGGCGA